TATGAAAGATTTCTTTCAAGATTGTTTATGTGTATTTTTAATGAATCAGTTTGGTTAAGTGCATGTCGTTTAAGAGTTCTAGCATTCGGATAAATTTTAGATATGTATAATTCTCCATATCACAAAACTGCAAAGTGGCTAGTTCGATTCCTAAATCCATTACATAAACTAGTCGTCAACAGAAGTGTGAAAGACGTTTTCGATTCCATTTCTAAAGTGGAACATATGAATTTAAATGGGAAACGTATGATGTCTTTAGATGTAGCTTCACTGTTTACCAATGTGCCGTTAATTGAGACCATTGATTTTGTGTGCCAACAACTACAGGAAAAACAATTCAATATTAGAATTCCTGAGGTTAGTCTTAAAGAATTACTTTTGAAATGCACAATGAATGTCCATTTTGTCTTTAATAACACATATTATAGACAAATTGATGGTATAGCAATGGGTTCACCTCTAGGTTCCATCCTTGCGGATTATTTTTTCTGGCGAAACTAGAAAACGGACCTCTTAAAGAGGTTATCAATGAGCTTGATTTATACTGTCGTTACGTTGATGACACTTTCATCATTGCAGATCAGAACATTAGTAAAGAACAACTGCTAGAACGATTTAATAACAAACATTATGCAAATAAATTTACATGTGAAGAGGAAATGGATAATAAACTACAGTTCCTTGACGTTTTATTAAGTAGAAAAGAAAATGGTTCTATCAGCAGAGGTGTGTACAGAAAAAATCTTTCCAGCCAATACACACATTTTTTAAGCTTTGTGCCTCTTCATTATAAGAGAAACTTAGTCAAATGCTTAGCAAGTAGAGCCATGAAGATATGCTCTGTTGAAACAATTGAAATGGAATTAGAGCAAATTCATAATAGGTTGATTGAAATGGGTTATCCACAGGGTTTCTTGAAGAAACACTAGCGTATAACAAACAAGAAGATAGTGATACTAACTGCTAATAAGAAACCTCTTTTCTTGAAGCTGCAATTCAATGGTGATGTATTGCGTGATAGACTGACTAGAGTAGTCAAGAGAACGTTTAATGCTGCCAACCTCTGTCTATCGTATTCGACCCGATCTATGGTGATTCCCCAACTAAAGGATAAGTTACCTGGTTACGCCAATTCTATGTGTATCTACGAATTCAGCTGCTCCTACGGAAAAAGCTATATTGGAAGCACTACCACGCAACTGAACCAGAGTTAGTAAACACCTCAATTCGTAGTTAGGAAAAGGTAACGACAAGACAATACGCAGCTCGGTTCTATCACACTTGATCGATAGCGGTCATGTAGTGGACAGAAACAAGTCATTTAATGCTATTTATCGTATTCCTACTAGTTCTCCTTATGGGATTCGATCTCGTCTCTTACACGAAGCAGAAGCTATAGGGATTCGAGCCTACAAGCTGAGTCTTTGTGTTCAGGAAAAACTTGTAACACCCTTATCTCTCCCTTGGCCTTAATAAATGAATTTATTATTCATCATTGTTACTGTTATTTTCTTTTCAAACCTTCTCTTCATTGATTATTTTTCTTCACATCATCCTATCATTTTATTTTCTCTCAAATATGCGTTTCACTGTTCAATTATCTGAACACTTCTTATTACTTAGTCTTATAATTTTTATAAATGTTATCTTACTGTAATATTTCCAATTATGTAATATTGATTTGGGCTTTTATTATTCTTATCAAAATCTAGTACACTTGTCATCACACTATCAATTTGTACTAATTCATTTATTATGTAATCGTTTTATTCATTGTTATCATTAACTCATAAACGATCTAGATTGACTTAATAATTACGTATATACATATAAATACATTACTGTATATTAAAGTAAAGCCTGATGAAGAACTAATCGAAAACAATATTGTTCGCTTATATATGTTGTTTTTAAATTTACATTATGGAAATATTTCAAATATCGAACGATTTCTGTGAGGGGCTGGAACACTGCCAGGTCGCGCAAACTGAAGCAGATGGTTTTCATAGACAGAGCAAATCTTTGATGCTTCATATCCACCAACCCATTTTAAGTTCCAACCGTACCTTCTATTTTTGTCTTCTCAAATGTCGCAAGCAATACGCGCTGAGAGAAGGCAGTGAGTGGGTCTTCCTTGACAGTGGCCGTTACCAGTGGACATCGACTGTGTCGAGTATGACAGTTACCCCCCGAAAATATTGGAAGATTATCGCGCAATATCGCGTACATGTGCACCTTTGGATGTTGGCTCAATGGTCTATATGTTAAGCGTTTGTGTGTGAGACCAAACGCCCTGGGTTCGATCTATGGTTGCAAAGTTGTGGATGCCCACTCCTGATAGGTCCTATACTATAACGAAATGGTCGCCCAGTGCTTCCCAGTTTTTAATTATGGTTTAACATTGATGAGTTCATAATTTCAATGAAATAAGGGGATAGTTGGTTCGTCAATGGTTAATTTAGCCAACAAATACAAGGAAAAAGAGTACTAATTACTCATAAACAGTTCAACTATCATACGGGAATTTCGCACAAACTACTTCATCAGTTATTATTCATCCAGTTGATTGTCTACAAGCCATACAGTACAACACTTATTCAAGTCAAAATGACACTAACAGTTAAATGAGATGGTAACGTGGGTTACTGCCTTTATAAAAAGAAAAAAAAAGATTTCGTCTGCATCATAATCATCAGTATTGACAAGTAATGCTTTGAATGAAGTTTTAGAGTAACTACTCATTTATCAAGTACAGTTTCAATCCCCCTGTCTACATGTGATGGCTGATGACAATAACTGGTAACATCAAATTGAATTATATAGAGAGCATTACGGATGTTATTTATTTATTTTAACACATAGATACTGGTACAAGGAGGCACCAAATATATATATGCGCCACATAAATCTCATTTGATATGTGTGCAGGCTGTGATACTGCCCGGGTGCCCAAATCGAATGTATGTATGACTTAATATAGTTGAAAATCAAATGGTTTAATGATCACTATGTTATTGATAAAATAAATTATTGGTCTCTCGAATAAATCGATAATCGGACTAAATAATACATCTGCTCTTTTAACGAATGATCTAATCAAAGGACCCAAATCTGGTCTTTTTGAAACTCTAACAATTTGTAACTAAAAGCAACTTGAATAAAAAAACATTCGTTAAGTTTTAAAAGAAAAAAGAAGAAACACAGGTAAAATATACACTTGTTGTTTCAGTCAGTCAGTCAGTCAGTCAGTCAGTCAGTCAGTCAGTCAGTCAGTCAGTCAGTCAGTCAGTCAGTCAGTCAGTCAGTCAGTCAGTCAGTCAGTCAGTCAGCAGTCAGCCAGCTACAACGTAGGACCAGGCATATATATACATCGGTCCAAGTTGCCGCACCTCATTTGCAAAAGATCAATACCAAATTCATAGAAGTAGTTCATTCAATGGTGGTAATATATAAAAGAAAGATTGCATATAAGGATATAGCTGTAGTGGCTGTGCTACGTGGACCAATCACCCTCGTAACCGTTATCGTATAATCCCTCAACGGTGTTTGAAATCAGAAGGAAAAGAGAAGCAGCTACTACAGTTTTATTAACAGGTAACTCCAATCACAGAGCAGAGAGGCGAATGAGTCAGCGAACCTTGAATGTGTAGTGTTATATATATATATATATATATATATATATATATATATATATATATATATATATATATATATATATATAAATGAATGGATTATCGAATCGATTAAGCGGCTAATAATAAGGTTAGCAGAATGAATATATGCGTGGACAGTCAACAATGTTCAAGCATACTTATTCATACAAGCATGACAATAATGAAAGTACAATAAATTGTTCAAGTACAGATGACTTTGTCCGTTTAATAGGTTAACAAAAAGGCTTAACCGAATTAGATGAGAGAAACTCAATTGAACGTGAACATGAGTTGCCCCCAAATGCCCTGGTACGGTCGAGAGTGGCCAGAGTCCACTCTCCCTCTTAAAATGGTCTCACATGTTCACGCGTATTTAGCCGCTGCCACGGAAGTCCTACTCATTGCCTTCTCGCACCACGGGTGTTGTTTACGAAAATGAGAGGACGAAAAGCGAATATCCGGCGCTTTAACCGGATCCCAAACCAATCGTGCATATGGGCTCCAGGATCCTCAAGGAACAAATGGCGTATGAACCAATCGTTGGTCACCGGCTACCATTGGACTGCATCTCCTCACGATGCTCCACTGCCTTGTGGGTCAGACGTTCAGGTCAAAGGCTCGAGGTGTGGCCCCCTAAGAAAACCACCTGCTTCGGTTTGGGCACCCGGGCAGTATCACAGCCCTCACACATATCAAATGAGATCTGTGTGGCGCATATGTATTTGGTGCCTCCTTGTACCAATACCTATGTGTTAAAATAAATAAATAAAATAAATGAACGTGAGTTGCTATATAGTACAGAAAGAAAGATAGAAAGAGATTTTAATCTCACGATTTAAGGGAAGACAGAGAGTGATCGATTCTGATCCATATCACACAGAGTCTCCAACCATTAATTACGATAGTCACATGAATCCCAACCAAGTAGTCTGCATTTACCAACAACATGGCTCAGATTATAAGTTATTGACTTTACAGACTCATGTGATACTATGGTTTGGCTACCATTAATTTTCTTCCAACCATCCCCAACACTAGTCAGCATTGTGCGTCGTGGTAATCGGTGTTCAGGCACACGTAACACGTGACCTAACCATCTCAGTCAATGAAGATTCATAATGTCATCAACTGTTTTACAAAGAGTGTATACACTGACACCATTGTGATCGATTTTGAGTCATGTCACCCAGAATCTCCAACCATTGATTACGATAGTTACATGGACCCCAACCAAGTAGACTCCAGTTATCAACATACCTTTGTTATGCATTCCATGATATGAATTAAATTCAATCAAATCAAATAGTACACACAATATGTATTGTAATCAATAGAAGAATCATTTACCTTCAATAAAAATTTTACAATTTCGTCCAATATAACCTTGTTCATATGGTGGTAAATGTTTAATGGCTATATTTTTCATAAATGGTGTTGTATTATGACGAATTGAAATAGCCCATTTATTAAAATCAAATTGATTTGTATAATAATGAATAAATCCAATAAATAATTCAGCTAAACTATTAGAATTATTTGATTGTAATTCATTCCATGGAAGTTCTATATTCATATCTAATTCATATGGTTGTATAGTGTAATTAAATAATTTCTATAAGGAAAATAAAAGCAAATACAGAAAGAATTTTCAATGATTACAGAAGAATAGGATGATTCAGAATCAATACAATTTAGCACACCCCCCCAAGTGCTCTGGTACGGTTGAGGTTAGGAACAGTCAGTTCTCCCTCTTTAAATATTTTCTCTCTCCCTCTCTTTCTCATGGCCATATGTATACATCCACTGTCAAAGAATTCCTACTCACTTCCTTCTCGAACCACGAGTGTTGTTCACGAAATCGAGAGGATGAAAAGCAAATGTCCGGCAGAAGCTTTAACCAGGTTGTTGGACACGGAGACTCCACCTAGAGGAGTTGGAAAATCCTGATTCCAAAGTAATGGTGTACATGGGCTCCAGGATCCTGAAGGAACAAATGGCATATAAACCAGTTATTGGTCACCGGTTACCATGGGACTGCATCTCCTGACGTTGCTCCAGTGCCTTGTGGATCAGACCTTTAGGTCGAAAGCTCCGGGTGTAGCCCCCTAAGAAAACCACCTGCTTCGGTCTGGGCACCCGGGTAGAATTACAGTCCATACACAAATCGAGTGACTTGTATGGTGCATATGCATTCGGTGCATCTATGTACTAACATCTATGTGTTCAAATAAACAAATAATACGGTTTAACATAACCATGTCTTATTTACTTCGAACCAAGTTAATTTGAATGAATGAATTATGATTAGTTATGTAATCTACTATGTGTTTCGTCTTAAATAGGACTCATCAGTTGAATAGACCTCACTTCCAATGTCGATGATCACATTGGCACTAAAATCCAGTGTATCTTTTGCATCAAACATCTGACTTGTTATGTAATGAGTTAATGGGTTCGAATAGCCATTAACTTGTTCAATGGATATAATATTTACATTATTAGTAGTAGTAAGTGTTTAAATTATTCAGTTGTTGACTGAATTTCGACTAATTTTTCTGGTATTCGATTTAAGTTGATTATAAAAGGATAGGATCATTGATCGCTGATCAGGGCAACTGAAATAACAATACATTTGAGAAAAAGACAAGTGTCAGTTAATCGTAAATGTGTCGAGTATATATCCCAGATTAATGATGAATATATAGATTCTGAATAGCCTAATTAATGATCGATTGCACGTGAGCTAGTTGAATAGTTTCAACAGATGTTTTGAAGCTTTACTGGTGATGGTATTCAACTTAACGCTTAAATTAATAATATAACAATAATGAAAGTACAAAGAAGAGACAGTTCAGAATTTTTCCGACGTAATCATATTCTTATTCCCGTTTCCACTATTTTAACTAGAAAACTAGCTCCGGCGATACTGTTGTAACTGGGTAGCCAACTAATATATCTGAGAAGTTTTTGCTGTTATGTACGCATAGACTATGATCACTCCCCAGTCTTACTTCTTTTACTTGACAATCAGGAATATGTGCAATTCCTACGACGCAAAGTGAGAACACAAAAGTCTGGTATAACGAAGGTTGAATTCACCATCCAAAAGTATGACTCTTCAAACAAGTCCTAAAATCACATCCTCTTTAGACTAAAACAGGATCGTTCATATAACTAGTTTCACACAATTAATAGTATCACATACAAGTGAATACATACAGTTACTATAAAAATACACATGAGATATAGTTTACCTGAATTAATCCAGGGAATGAAATTATTACAATGAACAAGAATTCATATAGAACAAAGTTTATACTGAATTCATACAAGAAAATATTGACCTAAGTAACGTCATTTTAATGGATTTTTGTTCTCTGAGTTGCATGATTTGGTCGTGGAGGTTTCATCGTTCTTCTGAACGACATCATCAGTACAAACTTTAGGTAGAAGTGAAGTGTTCGAATTTCTCAAAATGTGGTTCATAGTTTGTCCTGTAGACTTCGATGTCGAACCACATGTGGAGAAATTCGAACACTTCACTTCTACCTAAAGTTTAGGCTGTTGATATCGTTCAGAAACACGATGAAAGCTTCACAACCAAACCATCCAGTTCAGAGAACAAAACTTTATCAAAATCATTCCCTTGAGCTACAAATCATCTCCATCAACTCAATGTCATTTTACCTTGTTATATTACCATGTCACATCAGTAAGACGACATAAAATTAACAAGACGAATAACAAAGAAGTTGAAATGAAAATTATTGCAGTAGTAATGATGATAGGAAAAACCGAATACTGAGAAGATGATTCGGAAAAAAAAACAGAATGAAAAGAATACTGAAACTCAGGGTCAAAGACAATACAATGAATGAATGGATTTACGTTATATTGTGACCGATTTGGAGAGATACCACCCAATTTCTCATTAACCACTGATAGTAGTTATCATATAGTCCCCACAATCATGTAGTTTGGAACTATGAAGGTTTTAGTCCAAACGGTCAATAAAATCATAGATCAGATCAAAACTCTATTTTGGTAATAGTTGCCCCCTAGCAGTTTTTTTCCTACTGACGTCTACAGTAATAATACCACTAGAAGGATGTATTATTTTTAGTCCGATAACACAATATCGAAAACATACACATATATATATCTATATACATACTGGAAATTTTTCTTGCAAATTAGGTAGAATCGGTGGAATACAAGCAGTTTGAAGATAATGAATAAGCATTAGAAGTAAACAATAGGTGGATAGACGACCACGTTGAGCATCATGAATATCCAAACATTGAGCCCAATGTTTAATGAAAATTCCCAATGGTCTAACACGCCAATCAACTAAATGTTTCAACGATAACATAAACAAAGAAAATAGATTAGTTAATTATTGATTATTAGTATTAATATTGTCGCATATTTTAACAGAGGTGAAAAAGGAAATTCAATGATTCACAGTAAAGTCACAACACGAGGCAGTCACTATTACCAATTATGTTTTAGTATAGTCCTTCATTTTGAAGCCAATTACATCGAATAATGATAGGATCGACAGGCGACTCCTATATCTGACTCCAATTAAATAGTTTGCTGATTGTTATCGAGATATACATGCTGCGAATCTTCGTATAAGATCATCGACTTAAATCACGTTAGAGAATAAAGGGATAGAAATACGAGAATGATAATTGAGTAAGTATATTTTGTACACTCGTTGATCCAGACAGATGAATAAAGAAACGAAGTGAAGGAAGAAAAGAGAAGAGAGCGAAGCAAAGTGAGACGAAATGACACTTAGTGGAGAAGGCGAGTGAGCTAACCCAATTTAATTAAGCGTCATTCAATATTTATATTCAGAAAAAATAGGTTACAGACACACATTGAATAGGGTAAGCAATTAAAACACGTACGATTATATAAAGACAGTCAGGATTGATAAGTGAATAATTGACGAGGTCAAAATGTGGCTTGAAATGAATGCATAAATTGGTGTGTCCAGAAGCTAGAATAGCCTATGTGGACTTGACATAGAATCAGCCACTACACTGTTTGGTGGGCGATGGAGTTGACGAACTTGGGATATCTAAATTATTTCAATCGTTGGAGACTTATAAGCTATTAGACTGGGACAAATAATTAGGAGAGATGAAACTTTTAGAGCTATTCAACGTAGAATGATTATACCTTTATAATGTAAATGACCCTAATTGTAAGAATCCGATTGACCCAATAATTGTTGTGAATTCAATAATCAGCTTTATATCGCTTATCGTATAGTTATGCAAACATGATCTCGTATATGTGATGTGTTGTGGTCATGTAATTCACATATATAAACCTTTGAATTATGAAGAAAAGAAGGGTGAATACAATAATAAAAGGTTTATCTATTTCTTGTGCTAGTCTTCTGAATAACTACTGCGGTTAGAAAGAGTTCGTTGAATTGATAAGCATCAAAATTTCGCAATCACTAAGCTACTGATCAGGAGACCATTGTAATACTAACTTGCTTAAAGTAAATAACAGGGAAGTTGTGCCACTAATACAGGTTATGTGCAAATAAAACTATTCATTTGACAATGGACAACACATATTGCATTAGTTAAACAGGCTTTGATTGTAATCATTTACGCTATATAACCTGGTATTGTAATCACCAATGCACAGAAACCGAGACCTGGAAGCTTATTACAACCTACTGTCCAACCAGAAAACGAGGTCAGCAAAGCAGATATCAATCTCTAGTCACTAGCTGACTCGATAATCACGTAACCCAAACAAGCCGGAAAATACAAGATACTATTGTATCCTCATAGTTTGAATCACGGACCAACTTTAGTTAGACAACTACTGAAATCCAGGAAGCACTGAATGGCTGTTTCGTTCTAGAATTGGACTCCTCAGTAGTGTGCGTCCACAACTCAATATTTAAGATTCAAACCGGAACATTCGGTCTCGCGCGCGAAAGCTTAATCATCAAACTACTGGGCCGACATCTAACGATGTTTATGTTCAACTTTAACCAAACCACGGTATTGTGCAACCATCATCAATCGCCTATAGTGTCTACTGTCTCATACCCAGCAGTGTTGAACTGTAGTGGTCACGGATTTTCACAACTCAAGTTTCATTAAATATGGACATTTTTTCAATACATTCTAGTGATATTGAAATGAATCGAGGTGATTGTCAGAAGGGCTATACAGATGTGCACTGTGAAAATTTCAGTTTATTCATTAGTAAAATTTAACAGCGAATAAATCAATTCCATTTTGCAAATAATGTCTGTATTGAATTCCTCTTATATTTTGCAGATATAGCTAATAAACATCCTCTCGATGCCCTGATATGGGCGGTATAGAGAGTTATCCCTTCCTCTCTAAATGCTCTTATGTGGCCACGAGTATATAGCCTCACTGACTTTTCGTGCTGCAGGTGTTGGTTACGAAATTGAGAAAACGAAAAGAGAGTGTCCGGTTGGAGTTTAAACAGGGTTGTTGGGTACGAAGTATCTGCACAGAGGGGAATTGGAGAACTCTGATTCCAAACAAATAGTAAACATGGGATCCAGCATCTTAAAGAGAAAAAGTGGTTTATGAACCCATTCATGGTCACCAGCTACCACGAGACCATATTCCTTAATGTTGATCCACTGTTTAGTGAACTAGACCTCTGGTTCAAAGACTCAGAGAGTGGCTCTCTCTAAGAAAATCACCTACATCGGTTCGGTTACCCGGATAGTATACCCCACTCAAATGCAAATTCAGTAATTTGTGTGGTGTATATATATTTTTAGTGCCTCGTTGTACCAACAGTTTGAAATTATTTTTTTTTGGTTATCGTTTTTTTAGAGAGTTAGTTTTCTACGGGACCTACTAGGGGAGAAAGAACAAACCAGATTCCAGCGAAAGAAGGAATCATGAAGAAGCTCTGGAAATGGATAGAACACACATGGAGGAAAGTACCCGATTGCATCATAACACAAGCCCTTACTTGAAATCCTCAAGACCAAAGGAGAATAGGAAGATCAAAGAACACATTACGCCAATAAATGGAGACAGATATGAAAAGAATGAACAACAATTGGATAGAACTAGAAAAGAAGGCCCAAGATAGAGTGGGTTAGAGAATGCTAGTCGGCGGTCTATGCTCCATCGGGAGTAACAGGCCTAAGTAAGTAAGTAAGTAAGTAAAAACTTGTTGTATCCATGTTTATGTATTTAACTAAACAACAACAACAACAACAACCAAATAGAAATGTCAACAATGAATTTTACTTACTTTTTGCATACATAGCTAATAAATATGTATTATATAATCCAATTACATTATTTACATTTAAATCACAATCAATACCGGTATATCTATCACGAAATTTGATAATTGGAACTTTAGCACGAATTAATGTGAAATTAGAAAGGAAACCTACAGAAAATAGAATAAAGAATAAAGAAAAGAAAAAGAAAAGTTTGACAAGAAATGAAACATACATAGGGGGCATTGAAAATATTACCCTGTTTCAGTCTTCAAAAAGTCAATATTCAATTACATCGAAACTATACCAATAGTCCTGTAGAAGAAATAATCAGTCAGTTAATAACAACGTGGAACTTTGTACGTACCTACGTACGTACATCAGTTCGAGTTGCCATACCACATTACCACAGAGATTCAGTTATCGATTCAAATCCCATAGTGAAACAGGTAGTGAAAGTATAAGTAGTGATACGGAACATTACGGTTTGATGATGTTATTTAGGGAGTATAGTCCAGTGGAATAAATTGGGAAAGAAAATAAAGGACATGAAGAATAAAGAAGATTAGAGTTTGAGAGAACACAGAGAGTGGATTCACCTACGGCATTGCAAACCATTTTGAGCCATGTCATTCAAGGTCTCTAACCATTGGTTGCTATCATCTCACCGATCCCAACCAGGTAGTCTATACCTACCAACATGGCTCAGTCCACTTGTCAGTGACTTCATGGATTTCTGCCATGGTTTGGTCTGGCCGCCCCTAGCTTTCTTCCAACCTACTCCTACACCATAAAACATAGCACGTCGGGGCAGTCGGTGGTCGGGCATGCGTAACACATGTCCCATCATCACATGGAAACTATACCAATAGTCTTGAAAAAGAAATAATAATAATAATGGAATCAATCAATCAGAATAGAGTTAGTTAACAAGTGTTTAATTTAGGTGGGATTAGTTTTTTTTTAATGGTTTTTTATGGTTAACCTACTTATCTGATGTGGTTTTTGTTTAGCGAGTTAAGAAGAAGCACTGGAAATGGATAGGACATATATTGAGGAAAGCACTCAACTGCATCACAAGTCAAGCCCTCACATGGAATCATCAAGGCCAAAGGAGAAGGGGAAGACTAAAGAACACATTACGCTGAGAAATGGAGATAGACATGAAAAGAATGAATAACAATTGGATAGGACTAGAAAGGAAGGCCCAGAGCAAAGTGGGTTGAAGAATACTGGTCGGAGGCCTATGTTCCATTGGAAGTAACAGGCGTAAGTAAAGTAAGTACTTATCTGATATTGGTAGTGTGAGAAAAGTTCTCATTCCGGTTAATTTTGGTGATAATATGATTGTGGAACATTCATAGTATGTAAGACTATTGAAAAAAAAACCATCTTATGTAAGCTGTTGTTAGGAAATCGTATGCAGAGAAGATATAGAATTCGGAGATGTGGCTACTTTAAAAGTATTAGGGTTGAGAGTTTTGAAAAGTCAAGTGTCAAGTTTGTGATGTTTTAGGTAAGAGATTCAAGGTGAGTCAAAATAAAGAGTCACTTTACTTTACTTACGCCTGTTACCCCTCGTAGAGGAGCATAGGCCGCCCACCTGCGTTCTCCATTCAACTCTGTTCTGGGCAATCCTTTCCAGTTCTTATTCTTCCTTTTCATGCATGCTTCCAATTCTCGACGCAATGTGTTCTTTGGCCTTCCCCTTTTCCGCTTCCCTTCAGGATTCCAATTGGGCGTTTGTCTGATGATCCAATTTAATGATTTCTGCAATGTATGTTCTATCTACTTCCAACATCTTTTCCTAATTTCCTCTTCAACTGAAAGCTGAATTGTCCTCTTCCAAAGTAGGGTGTTGTTGATGATATCCAGTCAACGGATATTGAGTATCTTGAGTAGACAACTATTTATAAATACTTGTACCTTCTTGATGATGGTTGTACTAGTCCTCCACGTTTCAGCTTCGTACAGTAAAACTTTCTTGATGTTCATACTGAAGATTGTGACTCTGACATTGATTGACAGTTGTTTTGAATTCCATATGTTCCTCAATTGTAGGAATGCGGCCCTTGCTTTGCCAATCCTTGCCTTTACGTTTGCATCTGATCCTTCTTGTAGATCGATGATGCTGACTAGGTACGTGAAAGTTCCTACACCATCCAGAGCTTTTCCATCAAGTGTGATTGGGTTGAAAATAAAGAGTTACCATTCAGATATGTGATTTAACTTAGGGGACATTTTTTACTCACAAAACCACCTTTAACTCGCATCAACCTCGCTCAGATACGATCTACTATATCAGGAGGATGTTTTAGCTTACTCACAGTATCGTATTTAATGTGTAATTGCATAAAAGATATCTTTGTCAATTTTGAACATTTCAGCAACTTCATATCAATGAGTTTTGATTAATTCTTTTTTGTAAAAAAAGAAATACACTATCCTTTACTGAACTTTAGATTTTGTACAAGAAAAGCTATTGGGTCAAATGCAATCAGACAGTGTTGTATTGTCTAATCCACTTTATGTTCATAGTACGATGTGTGCTACTGATGTCAACAGATTTGAGTAGTATGTATCATCGATAGAAAGTGAAGTGACCGGAGGTACAAGGTTAAGAAGATCAAAGAAAAAAGAATGATTGGTGTGGAGTCGAAAGAACAATGAAGTCTGATACGATTGACTGATATTTTGTAAATGAAGAATTTACTGTATAGTTCTTAGATTTTACTAAAAGATTCTATAATTTTGTGCTTGAATACACTCGATTGTCCCTACTTGTGTTGTCGTTCACTACAATAGGACCGATAACCTATTTTACCGATGAACAATGACAGAAACCTAAATGTCTATTAGTCTATAAGTTATTTAAAATTCAATGTCCAATCAAGAGATTAAACTAGCAATTAAATAAAATCTCTATTTTTGAGACCATGAATCGATTGATGTTAGACCACTCTTGAAAACTTGGAGGCACTGGACGGCCGTTTCATCCTATTTTGGGACTCCTCAGCAGTGCGCATTCACGATCCCACTCACGGGATTTGAACCCAGGGCCTTCGATCTCGCGCGCGAACGCAAACCTCAGAACCATGGAAGATGGTCGCACAACTTGGTTGAGATTAGATATTAACACCGTTGGATGCCGGTCAGCTCAGTGGTCTAGAAGTTAAGCGTTCGCATGCAAGACCGAAAACCTTGGGGTTCGAATCCCGCGAGTGAGACCGTGGGTGCACGCTGCTGAAGAGTCTCACAGTAGAATAAAACGGCCGTCCAGTGCTTTCGGGTTTTTAATGGTGGTCTGACATCAATCAGTTGATGGTCTCAATCGAAAATATGATGACCTCCACAACCTCTTACTAATAAAATCTCTATATAGTATATCCGTTCCATTACATAACTCATACAATAATATAGTGTAGATTCCTGATCACAGAGTAATATGAATAGGAAATTGCATTTCAGATTATAATTACATCACAAATAAAAAGGAAACTAAATAATATGTTAATCCATAATAGAGTAAGAAAGATAAAATATACAATAGTAAATTATGTGTCAAACCGAGGATCACAATTAGAAGAATATTACAGTATCATAAACTAATTGTCTAATAATTACACACAAAAACTACAACTAATAATTTGACAGCTTTAATTCTTCTTCAAGACTATCCTCAGAACAAATAATTTTGTCTCTGTGGGCTAAACACTTGATTAAGTTTCTCTTATAGTGTAATAGGTAAAAAGTGTGTATATTGGCTTTGTGTAGTCGGGTTATGATAAACCTATCAGCTCTTCTCTTCAATAGGGTGTCTAGAAAGGAGATGGTGTTGTACTTTTTTTCTTCTATCGTGAAGATGATTGCTTAATGAGTTCTATTAAATGTTTTTAGTAGGCTCCGAGCTTCATTATTTATTTGAACACATAAATATTGGTACAGGGGGGAACCAAATATATATGCGCCACACAAAACAATGATAATTTGAAGAGAAGGAGAAAAAAAGGTAATGAACGTGGGGAATTATAAATAAAAAAAGAGAGAGAACAATGATGGGGAAAACGGAAAGGTACAATCAGAAGAATTCTTTCAGTTAAGGAAGATACAACCACTTTTTATGAAGAAAGTAAAAGAAGGTTACAGCAGGATCGCCATTGGCTTCTATTCTGAGCCATATCTGATAACGTCTCTAGCCACTGCGTTACACCGTCTCTCGGACCCCAGCCAGGGAGTCGTGAAGGACCAAGAGAAGCTAGCCCTTTGCAGCTTTCTTTCATACCACGACACCATATCATATACTGACCGCCTCTCCGCTTTTTCCAACCAGTCCCAGAGTCGGCAAATAATGCACGACGAGGAATTCTCTGGGACAACATTCGTAGAACATGTCCAAGCCACCGAAGTACATACAATTTTCAACCAGGCAGTGACTCGAGTACGTTTAGATAAAACTGAATTTTCACCATAGGTGAGCTGCTGTCTAGGTCGAAACGGATACATAAAGTAGGAATAAGAGAGGGTGAATAAATGACGTGGTAAAATAATAATAATAATAATAATAATAATAATAATAGTACGAGTCATTTCAATGTTAATCAGAGAGAACGGAATATTTTCCATAAGCAAATAGTTCATCATGATTTTAGTGCGTGGGCTGAGATACTGCCCGGGTGCCCAAACCGAAGCAGGTGGTTTTCTTAGGGGGCCACACCCCGAGCCTTTGACCTAAGGGTCTAGTCCACAAGGCAGTGGAGCATCGCGAGGAGATGCAGTCCCATGGAAGCCGGTGACCAAAAGTTGATTCATACGCCATTTGTTCCCGCAGGATACTGTGACTATAAATGTAACACCTATGTAATGAAAATAAAATTCTAGTTTTCCTATCACTCCGTCTAGAAGAATGTTTTCCAATTTGGCAGATAGAAATCAACTAGGACTGTACTTGATGGTGATTCCATAGCGACACCGTCACATTGTCTGTAGAGTTTCTTCTTAAACAAAAAATATACATTTATAGTATATTTGAGTATTAATTACCTTAAAGTGTATACTAGAATGCAAATTCCCACATCTCAACTGTTTCTATGAGACGTAAGTTTGTAAATAAAAAGGATACATCAAGTGATTTATTCACCTTCAAATCTTTAATTCTATCAACAAATTCAAAACTATCATTTACACTTTGTTGTAGTGGTTTTTAATAGTATTAGGAATGGTAATATAATTAAAACTTACGACATTTTCTTAAAGATTGTAAAAGTCGACTTAATATAAAAGTAGCTTCATTTTTCTGATGTAAATCGCGTGATGTTACAAGTAAACACATATCCATATCACTTTGATTTGAACCGAAACCATTTATTGAAGAGCCAACAATATACAGGCCAGCATCTATATTTTTAAAACAAACACACACACGTACAAACAAAGGAGGAGGAAGAAATTGTACTGAATTGATATGAAATAATTTCAAACGTTCATAGAAAATTACCACTCAAAGTAGATAACTCCAGAACTATGTGCAAGTTACCACACCTCATTAGCACAAGATGAACACCGGATTTATACAAGTAGTTAATTCAATGGTGGTAATATATAAAAGATTGTATATAAGGATATAGTACACGAAGAAACAATTAGTTTTTAGAAAGAAAGATAAAATGCGATTTTAATATCACGGTTTAAGGGAAGACAGAGAGTGCATACACCTACGCCATTGTGACCGATTCTGAGCCAAGTCAATTAGAATCTCCAACCATTGATTACGACAGTAACGCGGAACCCAACCAAGAAGTCTGCATCTACCACGAACATGGCTCAGACTAGAAGTTGATGACTTTAAGCCCTGATACCACCTCAGTCAGTCAATAACAACGTGGAACTTCGTACGTACGTACGTACATCAGTTCGAGTTGCCATACCACATTACCACAGAGATTCAGTTATCGATTCAAATCCCGTAGTGAAACAGGTAGTGAAAGTATAAGTAGTGATACAGAACATTACGGTTTGATGATGTTATTTAGGGAGTATAGTCCAGTGGAATAGATTTGGAAAGAAAATAAAGGACATGAAGAATTCAGAAGATTAGAGTTTGAGAGAACACAGAGAGTGGATTCACCTACGGCATTGCAAACCATTTTGAGCCATGTCATTCAAGATCTCTAACCATTGGTTGCTATCATCTCGCGGATCCCAACCAGGTAGTCTACACCTACCAACATGGCTCAGTGACTTGTCAGTGACTTCATGGATTTGTGCCATGTTTTGGTCTGGCCACCCCTAGCTTTCTTCCAACCTACTCCTACACCAGAAAACATCGCACGTCGGGTCAGTCGGTGGTCGGGCATGCGTAACACATGTCCCAGCCATCTCAACTGATTAAGTTTCACTACTTCATCAATTGATTTGCCATCCTTATCTAGTACCTGTCTCCTAACAACTGTGTTACTTACTCGGTGGTCCTAGGATATACGAGCAATGTTTCGAAGACACCTATGATCAAATACTAGTAACCTACGAATATCCTCTACTCTTACCGGCCATGTTTCACTGCCATAAAGTAGGACGGAACGAACTGCTGCGCAGTAAACACGTCCTTTGTTTGATAGACAGATATCTCGACCACGCCACAAATGACGCAAGTTGGCAAAAGCTAGTCGACCCTTCTGTATCCGTACTGAGATTTCGTCACATACCAGACCACAAGGGCTGATGAAACTTCCAAGATAAGTGAAGCGGTCGACACGCTCAACTACTTCACTCTCTATCACTAGTTCGGGTGTCGATGCAACGCAATCCTGAAGCAACATTTTGCATTTCGAGGGAGAGAATCGCATGCCGAACATGCCTGCATTGTTGCTTAGAGTGGTCAGCAGACTCTGCATTCTGTCAGCGTCTTCACTAAATAGAACTATGTCATCGGCATATTCTAAGTCAATAAGTGGATCTCCCGGTAGAAGTTCAACTCCTGGAAAGTCAAATGTGGAAAGTGTTATTTCTAAAAGCACGTCAACGACAAAGTTAAACAAGAATGGAGAGAGTGGACAGCCCTGACGAACACCACTTGAGATAATCAGTTCTGACGACAGTTCGCCATAAGCTCTCACTCGACCAGTTGTGTTCGAGTAGAGAGCCTTTATAAGGTTGATGTACTTCTTTGGTACTTCTTTCAGAGACAAACACTGCCATAGAACCTCACGATCAACAGAGTCAAATACCGCCTTAAGGTCGAGAAATACTACCATTGTGGGACGTCTGAATGTGCGTCTATGTTCTAGGACCTGACGTAATGTGAATATCTGATCTATACAACCACGTCCAGGTCGAAAACCAGCCTGGTTTTCTCTAGTCTGCTCTTCACGAGCTTTGGTTAGACGTCGAAGTATTATTGAAGCTAATATTTTAGACACTATATTAGTCAAACTAATTCCTCTGTGATTGTCACAAGAAGACTTTTGTCCTTTCGTATAGACTGGCACAATCAGTGATTGAGACCAGTCAGATGGGATTACGTACAGCACCCAGATTCTACCTAAGACCTCAGTCAATCTCGCTGCTAATACTGGACCGCCATCCTTAAAAATCTTAGGGGTAAACCTGTAAGAGGGCCTGCTGCTCTCCCACGCTTCAGATTTCCTATAGCTTTTTCAACTTCGTAAAGAGTCGGAGGACTTACATCAACTTGCCATTCAGGTCGACTGGAGATCGTGGGAAACCGAAGTGTGGCTGAAGGCCAGTTGAACTGATCCCTAAAGTATTCTGCCCATCGATCCAATCTCCTGGATTGAGAATGAATAATATGTCCATCTTTCTCTGCGATTGTTTCGGTAACAGTTGGGTTCCTAATACCGGTTTCCTTAACAAGTCTGAACAGTTGCCTGCTGTTACCTATTGCCGCTGCCTTTTCCATCTCTCTTGCTTTCGCTACCCACCACTGTTCACGATCTTTGCGTAGGCTTCTAGTCAGCTTACGCTTAAGCTGACTCCGCTCTTCGTTATGTTCAGAGCCAGATGGAATGAGTTTCCGAGCATCTATCAGTGCGGTAGATGCTGCTGAGATCCAGTGTTTCTCCCTGCCCCCAAATGCCCTGGTACGGCCGAGAGTGGGAAGAGTCCGCTCTCCCTCTCGAAATGCTCTCACATGGCCACGCGTATATAGCCTCTGTCAGGGAAGTCCTACTCACTGCCTTCTCGTGGCGGGGGTGTTGTTTACAAAAATGTTAGGACGAAAAGCGAATGTCCGGCGCTTTAACAGGATCCCAAATCAATGGTGCACATGGGCTCCAGTATCCTGCGGGAACAAATGGCGTATGAACCAATCGTTGGTCACCGGCTACCATGGGACTGCATCTCCTTACGATGCTCCACTGCCTTGTGGGTCAGAAATTCAGGTCGAAGGCTCGGGGTGTGGCCCCCTAAGAAAACCACTTGCTTCGGTTTGGGCACCCGGGCAGTATCACAGCCCTCACACAAATCAATTGAGATTCGTGTGGCGCATATGTACTTGGTGCCTCCTTGTACCAATACCTATGTGTTAAAATAAATAAATAATAATAAATAAGTGTTTCTCCCTAACCTTATGGTTTACCGTACTTGCAGACATCACTGCTGTTTCTACAGCTTTTCGGATGTCGTTCCACGCTGCCTCGGGGCGGGCATCACTTACATGGCTACCTAACTGTTTTTCTAGTTGTTCCTGAAATATACTGTTAGCTTGACTATCATTAAGTAGGACCCTAAGGGGTTTCCTTGCAGCATGTTTCCTACGTCCAGTAAGACGTAGACAAATACGCGCTCGCACTAGAGCATGATCTGAGTCTAAGCATGTGCTCCAGAATGAGCGACAGTCTTCTATCGAGCCCCTCCATTGGTGGCTGATAGCGATGTGATTTATTTGGGTCCAGAGCTGGGACGAATTAGGAGGTCGCCATGTTAAAAGATGTTTTTCCTTATGCTTAAAGTTAGTGTTTCCAAGAAACAGGCGGTTATCTGAGCATAGCTGCAACAGACGGTCGCCGTTATCTGTTCTTTGAACCGCGACACCATAAGATCCACCCAGGTGTCTTTCCTTTTAGCTTAGTTTACCTACTTGAGCATTAAAGTCACCAGCCACTATTACTACATCTGAACGCCTAGCTTTTCGGAGAAGGTCGGAAAGCTTTCTGTAAAACTCATCTTTTACATCATCTGAGCTGCAGTCAGTGGGAGAGTAGGCAGAGACGACGAAGATGCAAAGACGAGTGTCCCTATCTTTTCGAATCCTTACTGTTCCGTTTAGTCGGACAGCACACAAACGACTGTCTACTGGGATCCAGTCTAAGAGAGCTAGTTCTGCCCTAATACTCAATGCTATACCTACGCCAGCGAGGCCACGGGATGCAGCATCAGGGCTTCCAGATACACGAAGCGTAAATCGAGTTGGTTCGTTACTTTGACATGGTGCAATCAAATGAATGACACTACTAGGATCCTGTGTGCGCGTTTCGGAGACGCAGCACACATCGATGGAGCGAGATTCTAAAGTCTTAGCTAAGGAAGCCTGTTGTACTATTTCGCACAGTGTTCGGACGTTGAAAGCTCCTACGTGTAGTTTGGAGCGTGGTTTCAGGAGACCATGAATGACGTTCCGCGTACTCGAATCGTTTGCACTAGCGGGACGAGGTGATAAAGGGACGTAAGAAGGGTTAATCGTGGAGATAAGAGAGTTATTAGGAGGTGTAGGAAGGATTTGAATGTGACCAACTTGGTCTCGTGTGCTGTTACGGGTATGAGGGCTGATGTCACTTCCCGGCTGCCCACACCGTGGAGGGATATTTCTTAAGGATCATGAAAAGGAAGTTGGATTAGTGTTGGTCTTAACGACCTGAGAGCGTGACCACAGAGACCAAAAGACAACCGCTTGAGGTCGGTCGCACACGGCCTTTTTGTACGGGGTTTTTAATGTGTTAGTTCTGTTCTTCAAAAGGCCTTATCGCCAGAGACGGAAATCCGTGGCGTAAGGTGAGGTGTGACATTTTTAGGGTCAACCTTTTCTAACCCCTTCCTTCCTTGTGAGAAGGAAGCATTGCTGCAGATGCTGGTTGTCGAAGGGAAACACCTTACTGCTGTCACACCGCTCTACAGTCAGCAGTACGACTTCGCCCTCAGACCTTGAGTTGCTGCTTTTAGTCTTGCCGTTCTCCAATCGATCTGCCTGGCATGGTAGAACCTGCAGGAACATGTGTTCCAGCCAATATAGCTCGGTTGAGTCATCACGATAGGCAAGCCCGACCACCACGTCAAGGTAGCAGCTACGGTCGGGACTGATACCACCTTATGGTTTGGCTACACCCAACTTTCTTCCAACCATCCACAACACTAGTCAGCATTGCGCATCGTGGTAATCGGTGTTCAGGCATACGTAACGCGTGGCCCAACTACCTCAGTCGATGAAGATTCACAACCTCATCAACTGATTTACCATCATTCCCTAATACCCTGCATCTAACCTCACTATTACCCGATGATTTGAGCAGATGGGAACAATATTTCTAAGGTATCTGTGGTCAAATACTAGTAGCTTACGAATATATTCTACTCTAAATGACCACGTTTCGCAGCCTTAAAGTAAAACACAACAAACTGCTGCGTAGTATACTCGTCCCTTAATTGATAGACGGATATCTCGCCTTTGCCATAGGTGACGTAAGTTGTCGAAGGCCAAACGAGCTTTTCAAATCCGTGCTGAGATTTTGTCAGACGCCAACCCATTAGGGCTGATCAGACTTCCAAGGTTAGTGGAGTTGTTAACTCGTTCGACTACTTCACTCCCTAGCAGCTGACTAGTGCTATTATTACTATCTTCAAGTGTTTTCTAAATCCAGTTACCATTAATGATAATATAAAAAAAGATATGAAAGACTGGAATGAAATCAACATTTAAATGTTTGGATTACTTACCAATGCAGTTAGACATTTTTATGTGATGTAAAAATGTTTCGAATGCTCTCTTAAAAACGTGAGAGGCAATAAGATCTTAAAATTCTAGGCATAAATACAAAAGTCCCCAACAAAGGTCAGGGCTTAAAACAAAAAAAATACTAAGACGATTTCTATGGGTTAACTTTACTGGCAAATGAACATTTTATCGGAGGTAGTCGGCAGGAAGCTGTGGATTAACATTTTATTGCATTGAAAAAGCATATGGCTTATTTACTGAGTACAGATTCGTTTAGTTGGAGTTGAGTTATATTCTATATATGAAGGCTAATGATAATACCGTTTTCCAAACCAGAGATTGTGTGGTTTCAGTTTATGAATTAGTGGCCGAAATTTGGACCCTTTAGTCCCTGGACAACTGTTCTCCACACTAGTGAAGAGAATCCTCGGCCGATGTTCCTCCTGGGATTTCAAACCGTGCATTATGTACATTTCAAATAAGTTTAATAATTAAAGCATTAATTTCGTCAGTAACTGACAAATTTTTATTCCGGAGTCCAGCACAAAGATATCTCTAACAGTGATAATGTAAAAATTTCCCGCTTATCATGTCAGTTATTTACCAAGCACACATGTGCAATCGGTGAAGAGGTTGGAGAAACTGACAGCCTCCCTGTACGGAACGTGATGGAATGAAGTTTGAACCCTTAGAATAATGGTTGAAAGTCAAGTGAGTGAATCAAGTACGGAACCCGTACCTCATTGTATATAAAAAGAGCTTTAGTGAAACTAGCTGTAAATTACAACAATTTCACAACTAAACGCATATTTACCATAAAGGAGTTTTAGGAAATAATGTGTATAATTACTTCTTAGGTATATATCAATATATACCCCATTTACAAACAGCCATTAATGTTTTTAGGAAAGCACTTATTTGTTAGACAAACAAGGTGGCTTAGTAGTTACGCTTTTCGAAGTTCAGCCATTAGGTCTGTTTTGAACCTCACCTTACTTTCTTCGATATTATTGTTAGCTTTTGCAATTATAGTGTGGCTCATACCCAAGTACCCGGTAAGTGAGTTAATTTAAATTAAGATTAAATTTTTGTGAAGTTACACATAACAATTATAGATAAGAAAGGTACTCTTTTAAAATGGTTTTACTTACTTTCGAACACTCCTGATACAACCATATGTAAAGCATTAAGTAGACGAATTTTCTTTTCATATTTTAAAGGACTTTGTCTTGTACTACTATATAATTCCCAAATCCTTACTGATAAGTTTTCCATATACAATGAAGAGGACGATGTGGAATTAGTAGGAATAAAAGATGAACTGGTTATAGATGGCATTGAATTTGGTGGAAATGATGCAACAGACAAAGGAGTTTCACCAGGTACACATTTTCTATGATTGATTATTTTCGATTCATTACTACAAACTGGTAAATTTGATATGGGTAAGTTCACTGATTTATTGCTTCGAATTTTACGAATCTTATTTTTCTTGAACATTACTAATCTGTAACAAACAACGAAATGTGGATATAAAATAATGTAGAAAGTTATGTTTAGATATAGAAAAGATCAACCTAAATTATCACCGTACACTCATGCTATGGTTTACATATGACCTTCGAGCAACGCCAGAATGACCTTGGGCCAAATTGGGATTGAATATAAGTGTGAGGAATTAGGCTTAGGATTTACAGTTGTATGTTAGGGTTAATAATTAGATATACTATTTTCATCACGAACTGACGTTATTTATAGTGCCGAAATAGTATTTAGACAGATGAATGAATTCTGCGCCAAAATCCGAGATCTGCTATCTTAAATGTGGTTGGTTCGTCTATAAATTACCGTCGCGCCATGAAGCTGATCATCCTGATTTTTTAGCTTAGATGAATTAGTTGGATGGTCCCGAAGTTTGGGCTTGGGAACTATTTTTAGAAAGATTGTGCTAATGCACATAAAACACGGAAACAGATACCAATATACTATCAACGGCACACCACTTCCACTTTGGGGCAACGGTAAATCATGACATTAAAACAACTGTGAACTTCAAATCAGTAGCAGCCGAATATTTACGAGTGACGTGGTCATTTCGATGAGCATTCAGATGCCTTGCCGAGGAGATGTTTCGCATTTTATACTTCACCTACGTAAGACTACGCCCATAGTACTGTGTGCAAGCACTCGGTCCATGTATGCGGATACTCAAGTGTGTTAACTGTATGACAGTAAATTCGGTGAATGGTCTTTCCAAACTCCTTTATGATGAGCACTTAAAACGTCATAATTGTCTAGTTCATTTTGAACTGTATGACAAGCAACTTTTCATAACTCGCAAGAAACTTTTTAATAGCTCATGTACTCATCTTATATATTGTTGACTTGTTGTTATGTTTTTTAAATAGCATTTGCCTTGGCAAGATTAGTGAAGAGTCTTTCCAAACTCCTTTATGATGAGCGCCTAAAATGTTCGAGACTTTTTCTCTTAGCTTGAAAGGTGAGGTGACTTTATTCTGACATTCACTTTGTCTAATAACTACATAGGTGTTAATGTGTCCATTCTTTCTTCTTTCTCGAGAACTATTCATCTCCGAGGACATGGTAAGAAGGTTCAAAAACAGCCATATAGTAAACTCAGAGTGGAATTCACTTTCTCTCGTCAAGTGGTCTGTGACAGGAACACCTTACCCGAACATGTCGTCTCAGTCACACCAGTGAAAATTTTCAAAGAGCTGACCATGTAGGGTTAGCGAAATGTCAGTGAGCCCTATGTCAACCAACGTGCAGTTGTGTGACTGAATATCAAACAGTTTATCGATCCCCTCCAAGGTCAAGGAAAACCAACGGTCATCAATTAATCTTATCCCATGGACTGGCCCATGTGGTGGTGGTCATACTTTCGCTTGCAATTACTCTAAATACTATATTTCTGTAACAACCTCTTTTGTGTTAAACTGTCTTTAAAGCAGCAACAATACCTTAATACAACGAAGGTGTAAACAACGTTAGGTACTGACCGCGAGTTGTGACTTCGGAGTTAGCTGTCGGGCACACTATTCCTTTCTAACTCAGGTAGGCTCCCGATCATTCGACATAGATCATCCACGTTAGTAAGCTACAACTATTTTAAACACACCTAACGGAGTTTCAAATTTTGGGGTAGTTCTGTTTAATTTCATGGTATTGTGGGGTTTTTCCCTAAGTCATGTTAAAAAATCGTCCATTTCACACGATTCTGGAGAGAGTTTATTGATAAAACCCAGTACCTTATCGATGAAGACAATTTCATTCGAATTCAGTGGAACTCATGGGTTTTTTATTGACGATATTTTTTAGTCTTTTGAAGCATAACCACAATTAACGATATTGTCTGATTATACGATAACACTACTACCTAAATATTCCGTAGTCAACGTTTCATCTTCGTTTCAACGTTTCAAAGTATCGAGTCGATGAAGCAAATGTTCAACGACACTTTAAAATCTTACACAATGCAGTTTAGTTTTCTTAGTTTCTCAATCTTTGATTGCCTATTCACTCCAGTCTAACTGCAGGGAACTATTTTTAGAGAATAATAAATAACGAAAAATATGAGAGATGGATAGCAGACAACGAGATGCCAAGTTTGGTCGGCTGCCATCACTAATAGACAAACTTGTAGCACTAAACATCCGAACAACGTAAGCAACGTTTTAGCTACACAGTCCGTCAAAATTGTTCTGAGTAGTTACCATAGTGTACAAACTAATTTTCTGGACACTGGAATTTTTTTTTACCATATTCGACTAAAATCGAATCTTCTGAAGATTTCAGAAATTTAGCAACGCGATATCAACTTCAGCGAACTCAACTATGATGGCATGTTGGTAACTAAAATTTCTGAACATTACTTATGTTCTATCTTATGTCGTCCTTTAGCTCCGTATTTCAGTGAAGCATTCCTGCTTGACATCAATGGTGATGTAGGAAAGCCACTTGATCTTAATGAAATATCCACAGTTATTCAGAAATTTTAATGTTCGCTCTTCTTATCAGAAAGAACATCAGCCTCGTGACTTTCGAAGGAACTCGGTTTTCAGCATATGACGTCATATCTCTTCTAAATGAAAATCTAACTCCTAGGGCAGAGTTTAAACGGTTTGAATTATTTTTTATGAGTAGCGTTTTTTTAGCGAGTTAGTTTTTTACGGGATGGGGTCTTTAAACCCATGCCCGAACTTCCTCCTTCATCTGAGCTTAGGACCGGCAGTATACTTGTTGGGGATGATAGATCCCAAAAAAACTCATAGTTTGTAATTTTATCCTGTGGAGCCTGTATGCAGATGTACACGTGGTCATTTCTTAACACCCACGCACATGGTCAATTGACGAATTCATCGATTAAATAATCAAATATTTCAATGGCAGTCAATTGACGAACTATCGATCAAATGTTTAAAAGCTCCATGGCAATATCGATGTATATATATATGTATATATATGCTTTAAATTGTCTTTGTACATAATCGCTGGTTGTTGCAGAATATACTTCCATTCTTAGCTTGGTCTTCTCTCTCTAGATAGCAGGGCTGGAACGCGTCAATAGTTAGCTTACTGGTCTTGGACATCGGATCTCGTTCTCATCAGGCTTCAACCATAACAATACCAAGCGTGGATCCAGGCGGGGTTGGTTGTGCACTATTGAAACTGCCCAACACACTCCTGACAGACGATGAAAGCTCAGAAATAACCTTCCGAATACTGCACAACATTCCACTGCCTTACTAAAAATCATATCACCTCCTTCCATCATGCCAAAGACAATTCCGCTCAACATTCTCTATAGCCCTCATAAGAAGCTCATCCAAAGTTATAAAGCACAGGGATACAAACAGCACGGTCTTTGACTATCGCATTTTCGTTGAAAACACCTAAAGAATTATGTACCATTGAAGCTGCAGGTTGCAATAGTTCTTTATAATATTGAGGGTGACCAAAACTGTTCGAGATCACTAGCCATTATTTTTTGAGATCCACAAAAGCCTATTCATGTCAATTTTTGACGCCTGAAGTGGGGATTATTTGTACCTTAACAAGTAGCCTACGCCATGCAAATAAGTCGAGCTCTCTCTGGTTTTTCATTTACTATCACTTATTGTGCTATACACTAATTTTATTAAAGGTCAATGAGAACGTTCGTGGACGTGGGACAACTATGAACTTGTCAAACGCTCTTGGTTGTTATAGATCGACATATAACCGAGGATGAAATGAAACGCGATCAGAATTAGTGAAATAACATAGTTCGCTCTCGTGTATCAAACTTTCAAGCAAAAGCGACGAACGTTAGTCGACTTTTGCGCTAATTTACTTCGTACCTACAGCGGTAAACACTCAAACTAAATGTCTTGGGAGTGTATGCTCATTGGATGATAATGGAATGCCAAAAATTGAAATCATTAATTCGTTTCCTTAGTGTATTCAAGTACAAGTGTCGATAAATCGGATCAAACAAAAAAAGCCCTGAGAACGTTGATGATAAACAACATTCAAACCTTCAGGGATGCTGATGCCGATATAGATGCGTTTCGGAATATGATGCCGGATTTATTAAGAAGCATGATAAATGTCTTGCTAAAATGAACTAACATTCAACCGAAGCTCATCATCAGTATGATTTATTATCATTTGGGAACAAAAACCAATCTACTAAGACATTTCGAACTTTGATTGAGCACATTTACCTGAAATTCACTGCAGGTAAACATTATTGTAAACGGACTTTCAACAGTTATCGCCTGTACTAGGATGCATCATCACCCTTAAGTTAATTGGTGTGTTCATGATAGGTGTCAATGAGGGAAGTACGGAGTCGGTCGCATTTAGGAAGATATCTACTAACAACATTTCCGGAATAAAAGCGATGAGCGGTAAGGAGCTGCATAGTACTTGGTTCAAAAAGTATATATTTATTAAAGTACTTGACGCCATCTATGACGGACCTGCTCGTTTAGGTGTCAAATACGCAGCTAATCACAATGGAAACGCTCGTTGAAGTAGGTATATTGTAGTGGGTATTCGCCTAAACGAAAAAGTGGCATTTTCTAATGGTGAATATTGACTAGTAACTCATGACAATTTTATTTGATAGATTCAAACAGTTCATGATAAGGACTTTCTATTTTTGCGACATTTTCATTTAATATGAATTCATCGTTTCTTGCGGATCTTATTTACGAGGCAAAGTTAGGTGTGATGGAAAAATTAATCAATCTGTGGCTGAATTTCTCTCACGACAGGCTTTGAATCAGGAATCGAACTACCATCACAGTGTGAAGCACGCAACCGACCAAAGGCTTGAACAAATTCAATTACTTCCTGTGAGACGTATCAGGACCGGATGTCATTGTGGCCTGGGAAGACTTCGGAAAGAGGGCCAGAGAAAGTTTCATCAACTCATCACTCTTCTGGATCAGCACAACTCAAAGGACTGAACATGCTAAATAAAGGCAAATAAAACTCATAAGAACTGGGGTCTGGATATCCTGTATTTTGTTGAGCACCTGTGTGGAACTTATCTGTTTCCTTGTTAATAAAAGCACTAGCTGAAAACGCAGACGTTTAGAACATCTAAATAGACCTCATATCGATTAAGTAATGCACTTAAGGCGTTAGTTTTAAAGTTAATCAATCGAATTTACGTGTAATGAACGTTGAACTTATCGAATACAAAAAGTAGGCTACTTTTTTATGATCACATTACTGAAAACATCTGGGTTCATTAGTCTCAAAAAACATGGTGGAGAAAAATAAGTTGAGGATATGACCAAAGCCATTCTTATAATTCCCCATTCTGATTATATGCAAAAGGTACTGGATATTTAACTATTTATTGTCAGTCGTTCGGATCACGGTGAATGTATTCTTCCACGTATTGTTCCGTATGTAATTCATATTGTAAATTTTTTATCCAATTTTCTTGCTATAAAATGTCCATGCTTGTCAGTTTTTGCTAAATCCTATCCATGAACCACACTCTTCCTCAACACTACTCGTTCTCGATGTTTTATTTCTTATCATTGTTGAGAAGGTTAGTACAAAGAATCTATGCGATGTTAATGAGGTTCCATATTACGTCATTGCCTTCACTCAAAGTGCATGATGGGTAAGTACTTAGAGGGCGAACACATAGGCACTCATATTTTACAACCCAGAGTTGGTCCAGTCCACCCTTCCAGCAAACATAACCCAGCTCTCTCTTCAAACAGTTTTAAGCTGAGTGAGAACGATATATCTCATCAACGGTAAGCAGCGAAACATTTAAACAATGTACAAAGGAAATCAAAATCAACATAAAAACAATTCGTTTTCACTAAAAGTAATCGTAATTGTAGGGCAAAATCACAGCAACCATCATAACGACAAAACTTATAACCAGGTAAAGTCTATTTTAACTTCCCCATAATAGTGAACTTGACGCCTCTATGAGCAGCGCAGCCTAGTAGTTAAACTGTTTTTCTGGAACCATGTTTCGACATTAAAAACACATAAATGGACCGATTGTTTTCGGCGTCACAGTAACCTAAGACAACACTATGAACGTCGTCCCTGTCTGTTAACGTCTGCTTTGTATCCGGATATCGCGTGGATCTGCTCGATTCATTAAATCATCAGTAATTAGATGATGTCGATTGGTTTTCATGATGTAAATGAGATAAGGTATTCGAAATTCCGAAAACACTGCTAGTTTACTAATTTGAATTTGATGACGGCGAATAAAAGATGACTGCGTGAGGACTAAAAATTATTTAAACAAGCTTATGTCCATGAGCCAAGTAAAAGAGTATTCTAAAGAAGGTTATAGTTAAGACAATGTCAGTATCACGAAAAGTACATGTACCTGTAGTGGCATTGGGCTCTAATCACACAATTCTCAAGCTGAGCATGCGACAACTAGGAAAATGAATATTCAGTATTTGACGCGGGATTGGATCTTCATGGTACTAAAATTCGTGATCACTGGACCTCCTAAACTTAGTACTGAAGATTTTATACATCTTTTCAATAGCGCTTTCCATAAAAGTTGATTGAATCGATTTATAATCCTTGAAACACGAGGTACAGTAGTTTCCATTTTACAGATTTTTAAACAAATCAATTTTGTGACCTTGAACGCTTCCGAATAAGCGTTTATTTCGTATGTGATGGATGATCTGTATCCAAAACTATCTACTTATGAGTTTGACTACACAACTGATATCAACAAAAAGATGCGTGTCCCAGAAAAACTTTCATACGATTCCGATAATTCGGCGACACTCAGTGAAGGTCATGATGTTTCTTTTCGCAACTATCCAGTTGCAGATTTAAGTGCGAAACTTAATTATATTTACTTTACAGTTCTAGATGCCAGACGCTCATCAGAGTACGCCCCGGGATATAGTCCTGATATACTGAAGAACAGTGACATTCGATCGAAATTAATTTGCAAGTAAGTTTAAGAAAAATATGCATCTGCAACATGATTCTACTTATTACCATGGTAATAAGTAACCTGATTGCATCAGGTTCATTCGTAATGCAAAGTCTGCTATATTCACTAAGCCACTGTAAAATAATTCCGCTTAAACTAATTTTCTGAGACCTTACTTCTGACATGTGTTTATTCATCACTCGTCGTAGCTCTGGCTAACAATGCTTATTTTTCAGAGTACTGTGTTTCTGGTAAAAATCCTAGTCTAAATAAATAAGTTATCCACACAAGATCTGATCTTTCGTTTGACCAATCCAATTCTGTCACGTATTCATTTTGTTAAGATAGACGTCTGAAGTTCAGTGAACTGAATACAAATTTTATTGTTCATCGTCCAAACCCAACAACTATTGAGCGTAGTAGGTATTCTGTTAACCTATTACATAAATCTACAAGTCATTGCTGAAATTGTGTGAACGACAAAACCAGTCACTTTGTGTTTTCCAGTATGCCGTTATCTTTCAATGCTTGGTCAAATTCAACTTTTAATTGGGGCTTACTCCGTATAAGGTTTTTCAGGTATACGGTGGTATGCAAGCGCCAAAAAGCTACAGAAACTTGTGTAATTTATTGGTAGCTTTTCTCTCTAACGGTGTACTACAACTAGCTTATGAAGTTTTAAAATTCTCAAGAATGTAAGATAGTACTCATCTTTAATGTCCACGTAAACCTCGTAAAGTAATTGGGTTCCCAAGATTTTTTTCATCCATTATGTCTTAGTACCAATGTTTGATTATTTTCGGGCTATTGAGTCAGTAGTTCCGGCGTTGAACCCAGAGTATTGGGTAGGTATTGTAAATCGATAAACGAGGTCAATCTTTATCGATTTGGATGTTTGGAAAATGTGTTACTTAAACCCATCCACCGAATATCTTGATAGGCGATGATGATTGGTGTAGAGGTATTCTGAAAGAAAACTAGAGGTAGCTGAACCGAGACATGGCATCAGTTCATTGAGATACCAACTGTTGAACTGAACCATATGGTTAGGTGTCAATCGCAACGTAAAACCTAGTATGTAGGTATATAAATCGGTTCAAGTTGCTGTACTATATATATATATATATATAGCAAATAGAGATAAAACTGTTGCTCTAATCCCCAGAATATTAGAAGTACCAATATCAGTAGTAATAGAAAGGACTAGACACCGAAGATACGATCAAAGAAAATGCAAGGAATTTAGAAGTCTAAAATTTGGGGGAAGGCAAAAAAATAAGGCACCTGAGGCATTTCAAAAAATCTTGATTCACCTATTTACATGGTTCAGTCCACTTGTCGATGACATTACTAAGTGGTCCCATGTCTTGGTTTGGCTGCCTCTAGCTTTCTTTTAACCTACTCGTACACCGAAAAACATGTCCTTCGAGGTAGACGGTGATTGATTGCTTACTCGCGGTTCCAAAATATACGAGCAATACTCGATGACACCTGCGATCATAGGTAGATGTAGACTGTCTAATTTAGGTCCATATAACTGTCGTAAACAATGGTTAGAGACTTTGTTTTACATGACTCAACATTGTTCATAATAACATTTTGATTAGATCCCAGGTTTCTGAATTCCTTATGATTTTTTATTTACTTTATACCTGTTTGAATCGTATCTTCGATGCCTAATCTTTATTACCATCAATATTGTTATTACTTCTACCACTCTGGGATTTGTTTCGAGAATTTCATATTGTTGTGCTATTGGAGTGTGCTAACTTGAACTGATGTACACATGTGCCAGATCCTACATTGCATATGACTGACTGACTGACCGGTGTGTGTATAACTTTACAGCAATGTTTTATCGATTATATTTGCTGCGCATGCTCTCAACCTTTTTGCATTTTCGTACTGGACTTTTATGTAGAACAAATACATAAAGGTTAGTATAGCATCAAATTTTTATCTTAGTCAGATACATAATTATAGCTCATAGTTGCTTTATCGCAGTTACGTTATTTCTAGATGAATATAAATATTTCACATATTGATAGAATAATCCCTAAATGTATCATATTTTGTTTAATCCTGTTCTAGTGCACAAGCTCAAGCTTCTTCTCAGTCGGCAGATGGTTCAGCTAAAGCTCATGCTTCTGCTGGAGTATTCTGTGAAACTTCTAGTCATCGAGCACAAGAACGCCTTCGTGTATCAAGATCTGCCTCCGCTGGTAATAACGAACACGTATCTGTTGATCATCGTCTTATAAAACTTGAAAAACGGATATCCCATTTGGAATTTCAACAAGCTCTCATGAAAGGGGGATTAACAGTGTATATATTATACCGCATCATAAGATGGATTATAAAAAATTCGTGATAAATTTGTTATAATGACCATCATCTAATCGTATTTTCGAACAATTATATTTTATTAATAACTTTAATGTATAGTTTTTGATTACCTCCCTATCTATTTTTACTTTAAACAGTCTAGGTTACACACAGTGCTGTCGCATCTGCCAGCACAGTAGTGAATCATGGTAGGATTTTTTTTTCAGTTGTCTTCTTGATTTTAAAGAGAAAAATTCACTATCTTCCACAAATATTCTATACATACATCATCAGAATGCATTTAATGTATATCACTCATTTTAAAATATATAAGTATTATTCCTGTTTTTAAAACTTTTGATATGTAGTTTAATTCCTGTTTTTATTTTTTGATCATTGATTTTCGACAGAGAGTATTGTTTTATTTGGTATTCTGCATTATATAAACTTCATGCTAAGCTCCTGTATTAATCTAAGGTTTTAAACTATTAATAGACACAAAAATAGACTCTTCAGTTTATAATTTTATTAAAGAATTATATATCCTGTTTTCCATCTATCGATAGACTTGTTATTAATTGATTGTCATATAACTCACTTTAGACAGAGTACAGACGTATGTACTAGTTTTTAGATCGAACCTCTTTGTTTGATAGCTAGTGATACTATCCGACTGCTCAATCAGGGGAAGATGAAGTAAGGTTTTGAATCAGTGACAGTATGGTTGAGAATTGTATATCTTTCAACACTAAATCACGGTTAACTTATCAGTTATACCATTGAGTTGTAGTGTTTTTTTTAGATGACATCAACATTTTCCTGGTTATGAGCTACTCTCAAATTCTGATTTAAGTATCCATATATGTATTTGTATTTCTTTCTTGCCTATGAATACTTTTTTATTGTTTTTTCAAAATAAAGGAAGATATATGTACTTGTATATCGTCTGAACTATTAAGAAGTGTTTCCGTAGATCTGGTTTCAACCAGTCTAAAAATGCCTTGTATTTGTTCATATTCTGGCTGTAATATTTATATTGTCTATCTCACTCTCTCTCCAATTTTTGTTTATTGTTTTGTAGAAAGTCAGCTATATTGTCTAATCCTAAAATACATTAAGACAAAAAGCAAATTTTTTAATATTCGCTGCAATCTACATTCTAAGTTAAGTTCGTCCTGATGACTACTTGATTGAAATATCAATAAATTGCTTCTCAAACATAGTTACCATCATTAAACGATTATACTGGTATAGTATCACAATAATAGATTTAATTAGTATATCCTTTTACTGTATATAATCCCATCATTTGTAGTATGATCTCTTAATACTATGGAGTTAGTTCACCATATTTAGCTTGAAAACATTAGTTTTCAATAGATATTTTTTTGCTCTTCACTCAAGCTTTTAAATTAGTTGAATCATCTGGTGAGACCATAGTTTATAGACGACGTTTGAGTGACGCTTACATGATCTTAGGAGTGTTCACTTAATAACTAGGACCAAATGAGTGTTATAAATTAGTATGAGGAATTAAAATTATGATTTACAGTTGATGGTTAAGGGTTAGGAATTAGATTTCAGGTTTTCATCATAAACTGACATAATCTATAATGCCAAAATTCTATTTAATCAAATAGATGAGTGAATTTCACACCAAAATTTGAGGCTTATTATCTTATACTTAATTGGTTCGTTCATAAATTCTAGTCTCACGGAAATCATCTTGATCAATAAAAGTTTTAGATTTTGTAAAAGAGAATATAATCTACAATGTATACAACTGGAATGTTCCAAGAATTTTAATGTATTCTACATCATTTAATTAAACTAATCCCTATCTTCATTAATACTTTGTTATTTGAATAAAAGCTTAGTAGTTACCAATCAATTAATAACACAAACAAAATATAATGTGATCTAATGATCACTTATCATAAGACTAAACTTATTGATGAGTGTAGTTGATTATATATATATATTACTGATAATGAAGAAATGAAACAGTTAATTATTGATTAAATAGTGTTAACAATAATAATAAGTAATTTCTCCAAAAAATAAATTAATTTCAGAATTAAAATGAAGCAAAAAGGTCATTGAATAGTTTAGTAGAAAATCACGTACCCATTGTTATCAATTGAATGTTATTACCATTTCTATTGTTATTGTTAATACTATTATTATCATTATTGCTACTATTATTCAGTCAGTCAGTCAGCAACAACATAGGGCCAGGCATATATATGCATCGGTCCAAGTTGCCATACCGCATTAGCACAACAAGATGAACACCGGATTCATAGAAGTATTTAATTCAATGGTAGCAATATATGAACGAAAGATTGCATATAAGGATACAGTACGGGGAGTAAGAATTAGTTCGTAGAAAGAAAGATATAAAGCGATTTTAACATCACAGTTTAAAGGAAGACAGAGAGTGTATACACCTACACCATTGTGATCTATTCTGAGCCACATCACCAAGAGTCTCTAAGCATTAATCACGACAGTCTCGTGGACCGCAACCAAGTAGTCTGCATCTACCAACATGGCTTAGACTAGAATTTAGTGACTTTAGGCACTGATACCACCTTATGGTTTGGCTACCCCTCACTTTCTTCCAACCATCCTCGACACCAGTCAGCATTTTGCATCGTAATAATCGGTGTTCAGACATACATAACGCGTGGCCCAACTATCTCAGTCATTGAAGATTTACAACCTCATCAACTGATTTACCATCATTCCCTAATACCCTGCATCTAACCTCACTATTACCCGATGATTTGAGCAGATGGGAACAATATTTCTAAGGTATTTGTGGTCAAATACTAGTAGCTTACGTGTATCTTTAGCTCTTAATCTCCATGTTTCGCAGTCTTAAAAATAAAACAGAACAAATTGTCACGCAATATACTCGTCCTTTTACTATTATTATCATCATTAAATAAAACAACACATATTAGTGGTCTTTTTCTTCAAATCTCAAATTGGTAATCTTTTCTTACTTTAAATAGATGTGATTATGTAATTCATTCATTTAATTTAACTACTCATCTAACAGTTTTATTTCTCTCTATATATATACCTAATATAAATTGTATTTTAATTTATATTTTAGCATTATGGTCACTTCTACTGAAGATGATATTAAACGAGAGAAATTAGTTGAAAGAGTTCGTACATCGGTTATAGTATTTTGGATTTTATCTATTATATTTTTAATAATAGGTATAACAGTACTATCTATGTATCATAATTTAAATGAGTAAGTTGATGTTTTCAATACTTTTATTGTTATACAATGGGTATTCATTTAGTATATAGATCATTAAGATGTTTGAATATGAGTATATCTAATAAAATATATAAATTATGGCTAATATTGAAATCCAGGATTCACGTTTCTTTTTTTATTTGGGACTCATCAACTAGCTATAGATCTGAATTGAAGTGTTACTGTTCACTTGTGACAGGATGGCTATATCGAAGCTATCCTTATAAAATTGATTTATACCATTAATGAGAGCGTATATAGTCACTGCCTTCTCGCACCACAGGTGTTGTTTACAAAATTGAGAGGACGAAAAACTAATGTACAGCAGAGGGTTTAATCGAGTTGATGGATATGGAGGATCCACCTAGGAAAGTTGGAAAACTCTTATTCCTAATCAGTGGTGCACATAGGCTCCAAGATCCTGAAGGAATAAATGGCGTATGAACCTATTGTTGGTCACCTGCTACCATGAGACTGCATCTCCTGACGTTGCTCTGATGCCTTGTGGATCAGACCTTTAAGTAGAAGGCTCCGGGTGTGACCCCGTAAGAAAACCACCTGTTTCGGTTTGGTCACCCGGACAGCATCCTAGCCCTCACACAAATCGAATGATTTGTGTGGCGCATATCTATTTGGTGCCTGCTTGTACCAATGTTTATGTGTTTAAATAAGAGAAATAAATAAAACAACTTAATTCTTTGACCCAGAGGTATAGTCCACTAAACAGTGGATCAACACCAGGAAATACGGTCTAGTGGTAGCTGGTAACCAGGGATGAGTTCATACACTATTTTGTCCCCTTTAGGATGCTAGAGCCCATGTGCACCGTTTGTTTACAATCAAGGTTCTCCAACTCTCCTCTAAGTGGATCCTCTGTACTCACTAACTCCAACTTAAGCTCTATTCAGAAATTCTCTTTTCATCTTCTCAATTTCGCTAAAAACCTCCCCTTCGCGAGATGACAATGAGTAGTAATTCTCTGATAGTTGCTGTATACATGTGACTCATGTAAAAGCACTTTAAGTGGAAGAGTGAACTCACCACCCCATCAGTCATAATCACATATTCATTTGATAATCATATCATTCTATCTTTAAATTATACTTTATTTAGTCGTTTGTAGTTAAACTAATATTGTTAATTCTTACCCTGACCGTAGCTGCTACCTTGAAGTGGTGGTCGGGCTTGCCTATTGTAGTGATCCGACCAAGCTATATTGGCTGGAATATATGTTCCTGCAAGTTCTACCATGTCGGGCAGGTCGATTTGAGAACGGCAAGACTAAAAGCAGCAACTCAAGGTCTGAGGGCGAAGTCGTACTGTTGACTGTAGAGCGGTGTGACAGCAGTAAGGTGTTTCCCTTCGACAACCAGCATCTGCAGCAATGCTTCCTTCTCACAAGGAAGGAAGGGGTTAGAAAAGGTTGACCCTAAAAATGTCACACCTCACCTTACGCCACGGATTTCCGTCTCTGGCGGTAAGGCCGTTTGAAGAACGGAGCTAACACATTAAAAACCTCCCACAAAAAGGCCATGTGCGACCGACCTCAAGCGGTTGTCCTTTGGTCTCTGTGGTCACGCTCTCAGGTCGTTAAGACCAACACTAATCCAACTTCCTTTTCATGATCCTTAAGAAATATCCCTCCACGGTGTGGGCAACCGGGAAGTGAGATCAGCCCTCATACCCGTAAGAGCACACGAGGCCAAGTCGGTCACATTCAAATCCCTGACTATTAATTCTTACACAGAATTTAACTCAAAGCTTTAATACTTGAACCTTGTATTCTTACTTAGTATATTTGATTTGTTTGAATATTGTAGTTTTTGTTTTCTAAAACTTTCTCTCTTTAGAATTTCATAATGTTTTTATGGGTGGGTTCATGAACGTTTTTTTGTTTTTGTTTTGTTTTATTGATGTCAGTATTAGAAATGAGTAAAATCTACTTACAATCTCTAACTGATCTACGTTACCTTTGTATTACACCATTGTGTTTGTTTTGTTTTAATTAATCAGTCTGCAAAGGAAAAACAAAACAACAAGAGAAAACACATTCAAAATTCTATTCATCTAATTTTAAGCCAATTAATCGTTTCAATAGTTAAGATGATGAGTCAATTAAAGTTAGACTATTATTTAAAAAAATTGAAAGGATTGGATAGCCGTTTCGTCTTATTATGAGACTCTTCAGTAATGTGCATCCACGATGATATGATTGTTTATAGGATTTTATTTTCTATGCTTGTGTATTTGTGCAAAATTAGCATTGGATACAAATTTTAAAGTTGCTTTTGAGAATTGATAAAAACATTGAATGAATAGGTTAATCCAAGTTAATCTATTTTATGCAATTGTATTTGTCTTGATCAATCGAACAGAGAATAAGTCGTAGGATATTTTTGAAATGTAGTTAACAGTGGAATATGAGATGTGTACTTTGTCCTGTTTTGGACTTATCATCTGGATGTACCTATATCATAGAGTTGATGTTCACTTTAGGACTCTAATCCGACACCGTTTATTTGAAAACGCCATTTTTTGATCTACAAGTGGGGAAAATTGAATGTATACGAACATAACATTCCAGAGTATGTTAGTAAAATATGAGAACCATATGGTAAATACTTCATTTGTACAATGTCAATCAATTGTCTCAGACTTGATTGTTCCTTATTTTCCACACCAAACACTCTCTGTTCTCATTCTCTTTCGTTCAATCTTCTTAACATTCTGACTCTAGGAATCTCACTTTAGATTGATAACACATACTACTTATACATATCAACATCAGTAGCACACACCACACATTCAGCTGACAAGTCTCATATGAAATGTAATATATGTTTTGGATTCCACTGCTTCCACATTCCATCTATTCTACATCAATTTGTCTTTTAGTGGCTATAACGAGGCAATCCTCATGTGATACATATATGTCAACTAAGACTAATCAAATTTTAGTGAAAAATGTCAACAAAGGAATAATTGAAATTATTTCAAATTGAATCGGAGTAAACATCAGTTTAGAGTGAAGGGTCTTGTTCATTTGGTTAAATTTAATCACAGTCTGTTTATGTTTAAAAAATATGTGTAAATATAACAGGAAAAAATGTAACTAACTATTACTTATATCCTAATGATTTTTATGTGTGAGGGCTGTGATACTGCCCGGGTGACCAAATCAAAGCAGGTGATTTTCTTAGGTGGCCACACCCCTAGTCTTCGACCTGGAGTTCTAACCCACAAGGCAGTGGAGCATCGTAAGGAGATGCAGTCCCATGGTAGCCGGTGACCAACGATTGGTTCATACGCCATTTGTTCCTTCATGATACTGGAGCCCATGTGCACCATTGATTTGGGATCCGGTTAAAGCGCCGGACATTCGCTTTTCGTCCTCTCATTTTCGTAAACAACACCCGTTGTGCGAGAAGGCAGTGAGTAGGACTTCCCTGGCAGAGGCTGTATACGCGTGGCCATGTGAGAGTATTTCGAGAGGGAGAGTGAACTCTCCCCACTCTCGGCCGTACCGGGGCATTTGGGGGCCCGCACTCAATAGTTTATGTGTTCAACTTTGTCCAATTCTGCTGATTCTCATAGGACATACTTGTTCAAACTAACTTTAAAATAATATGAATTGTTACTATATATTGACTAATAACTAGATAAAGAAACAGTATAACACTGATCATTTGCTGCTGTTTGATAATTTATTTTTGGAATTTTAAGCAAAGAAAGTTTCATTTCGTAAAGTTTCTTCACTTATAATATAAAAACATGTTTGGTTTCATGTAACATTAAATAACATACAGGTGGGGGGGAATATCCACAATATTTTGATTCAATTAAAGATAAAATTCATCTAAAATAACAATGTAAATATCAAGTAACAAATTATACAGTCTAAGTGTGGTGTGTGCTACTTATGTCGACATAAGTAGCATATGATGTTAGTCGTGAACAAAATGTCCGGCAGCAGAGAGACAAGAGGATCGAACAGTAAAGAATGGAAACAGAATGCAATTTGTATGAAAGTGCAGGAACAGTGAAGTCCAAGTCATTTTGAGACAATTGATGGACATTTTGCAAATTGAGCATTTACTATATGATTGTTAGATTTTATTAACAAGTTCTGTAAGTTTCTACCAATTACATTCGATTGTCCCCAGTGGTGTTCGTGTTCAACACATAAGAATCAACATGACTAAGATAGGCCTTGTTCATCTTAGAGATATATCTGTTTATTTTACTTCGGAATACACCAGGAAACAACGATAGAATCACTACTGAGTTGTTTTATATGTAATAGCCCATTCAGAGAGTTGTAATCAGTCAACAAACCCTAAACAAACTCCTGACCATTTCTATATGAAATATATTCGGATAATACATATAAAACATGTTCAATCCTGGCGGAGTTAGTAGTTTAAGATATCAGATTTTTGTGAACAGATGCATTTTACTACACCTCATTATTACTTGCATGATTCTGTTACAGTATATAAACAACCCATGTTATCAGATCAGAATTCAATAACTGGATGATTGTTTACGCATAGTAACTCATACAACTCATTTATAGACTGAAATTCTTATGTACCAATCATTTTAATTTCAGCTCAATAAGTCATAGATTTTTTTGGTTAATTTTTCAGAACTTGTACGTTAGAAGACATTGCAAGCTGCGCTATGAACCTACTCAATATCCACAAAAGTTATAAGGCAGTAGTGGGCAGGAAACCCTCTTTGACCTAGGTTTCGTAACATTTGGCAGTCGTCAGCAAAGTGTGTCTGTACTTTTAAGGGTATCGATACTTCTTGTTTCATTCAACCCCATGTCGTCCAACTTTACAGTCAGAAATGTTATTACCAAATTTTTCCGACTGCAACTGAACTGTTTTAGGATTGAGATGTATTTACAATTGATTGATGACATGGGATTTAATTCTCCAAGAAATATCAGTTCCCTTAAAGTTACTAGTACGCTTTACTGACGGGTACCGAAATGGCACAAAACTTCGGTTCAGTGTTTCCTGTAGACTACCTTCAACTTCTAATTTACACTTCCTTATAGTGTATGCGATGTCAAGTTACTGAAACTTGATCGATAGAACGTTATCAACACTAATAATGACTTGAAATTTATGACATTGGTCACTATTCAGTGATCAATCAATTGTATATAGAAGTTATGTTTAAACTTTTAGAAAAAGAAAAAAAATCTAAAATAATTTAGTTCAATAGCACAATGATTTCCTTTCATTGCTTGAATTTTTATTGATTCAATGAACAAATATATAAACAGGAAGAAGAGATGTTGAATTTTCAACCTACATATACTATTATACTACTGTGCTACATGCTACATATATTGACAGACATACATAATATGTAACACCAATCCAAAGAGAAATGAATGACAGCGGAAGGTTATGAAGGTCGACTTTTAAGAAAATTGACGGAAATAGAAAGGAATCGTAACTTGGAACAAATGATGAATATATATATATATATATATATATATATATATATATATAACTGTCAGTGGTTAAGGTATTTGACTTCCAAACACAGGGTTCTGAGTCTGAATCCCTACTCACCTACTTTGGTTTGAGCACATGGGTAGTATTCTGGTGTAGGCTACTGATGTCGATAGATATAAGTAGCATGTATCACCAATCAAAAGTGAAATACCTGGCGACAGATAGTTAAGAAGGTCGAAGAGAAGTGAACGAGAACAAAGTGATTGGTGTTGAAATTAAAGAACTATCAAGTCTGAGACAATTGATTTGCCAGGGAAGTCCTACTCACTGCCTTCTCACAAAGGGGTGTTGTTTACTAAAATGAGAGGACGAAAAGCGAATGTCCGGCGCTTTAACCGGATCCCAAACCAATGGTGCACGTGGGCTCCAGTATCCTGAAGGAAAAAATGGCGTATGAACCAATCGTTGATCATTGGCTACTATGGGACTGCATCTCCTTACAATGCTCAGATCTTCAGGTCAAAGGCTCAGGATATGGCCCCCTAAGAAAACCACCTGGTTCGATTTGGTCACCCGGGCAGTATCACAGCCCTCCCACATATCAAATGAGATCTGTGTGGCGCATATGTATTTGGTGCCTCCTTGTACCAATAACTATGTGTTCGAATAAATAAAGATTGACATTTTAGAAATCAAGTATTTACTGTATGGTTCTCAGATTTTACTAACGTACTCTGCAATGTCACATTCATATACATTTGATTGTCCCCATTGTTTTTCTCATTCATTACAGTATTATCGATTCATTCATAATGTTATGTAATCAATTGTTCTATTATAGATTTGTTTATTTCTTCTAAATTTCTTATTCAGTTCATCTCAATACGCTGGTACTATCGCTGGAACATTTTTTTTAGTTTTCAGTATACCATTAATTATATGTAGTGGTTTTTTAACTAGTGCATTCTTAATTATTCAAGAATCTATTCAAGATGAACGGGATTATCGATGTCGTGATCCAGAATTTTATAAAGATGTTAGTTCATTTTGCCTGTTTTTTTTACTCTTTCAATTGTAAAAACAATCAATACTTTCTTCTGATTGACATTTTCCTCACTGTATCATTAGACCAGTAATGCTGGAACTTCATCGATGACTGTAATGATATTGAATGCTGTTACGTCCTTGATCTGTCTACTCACTTTTAGTACTGAGGATAATTTGTCTAATCTAGATTAAGATCTTGACGAAATAGGCTGACTGACTTAATCTTGAGGCTAGTTCGCATGAGTTCGATGTGGGATAGAGAGAAGAAAACTATTCTATCACCTGATTGGCTGGAAAGCACATGAGTGAGAGAAGATAAGTCAACTGGAACACCTCTCGATCTATTCTCAATTCCGATCTGGTTCCCGATTTCAGACCAGTGTAAAAAGATATATGAATAATTAGATGACTAACTCGACCACAACGCACAACAATTAGGGCAAATAAATTTATGTTCAAAACTGGAGATTAGCGTAGAAAATCAAGTACAAAATATTACGTTTAAATTACAATAGCTTTGGAACAAAAAGGGCTATGGCAATGAATTATACATCAAACGAAAGCTTATGATTTGTAGAATAGACCAGGGACAAAAATAGATGTTACTGTTTTAAAAGCTTTGAATAATAACGTCCCAAAGAATAGCTTCCGTAGTTTGTCAAGGCTTCTTGTTTCTCTGTTCACATCAAATGCCTACTAATTTTGTTCTTAGACATTCTAGGGATTCAATCGGTAGTTCCCTAATATGCTTGATACTCTGTACCACTTGATATAACTTTACGTTGTATGCTACACGTGAATTCTTATGACTGGACAGATTGGTTACACAGAATTTCTTTTCCAAGATTTCATAAGAAAGTAAAAATAGGAAAGCTGTACTAATCTATTGTTTTGATAATTATATTGAATAGTTTTTGATTATACAACAGATCTATTGAAACTTTTAGTATTGTGTTTAGTTTATGCAATCATTTGGACGATTTTATGTAAGGAATAGTTAATGTCCCGCTAGGCGGGGTTGTAGATGCGCACTGCTAAGGAGTCCCATAATAGGACGAAACGGCCGTCCAGTGCTTCCAAATTTTCCATGGTATTCTAGCTTCAATTGACTTATGATCTCAATTATTGAAATTACTAAAATCTCCACAAAACACCTGATATAGATTCATTTACTTAGATTTAAGTCTCAGTTTTATCGTTAAGGTTAGTAATACTATCCGGTTGCTAAACGCCAAATAAGTAGATTACTCTGAAACTTGAGATCATTTCATTTCAAATTTGAACCATCACTTCAGACATGGTTTAATGATAAATACCTACTCAGTTTCAAATTCAAGTCTCACTCCTCGCACTAGGTACTGTCATAAACCCTGATACATGAAGTATGGCTTGAAACTGAGTACATGAAACTGTAATTAATAATTAGTTAATTGATAATCTTCATAAATATTTTTCTTTTTTTTTTTCATTTTTAGATTCCATATCCACGTCAACCATTTAAACCAGTACCGACAACATCATCATTGCCAACTCCATATCCATCTGCACCTATTCCACGATTTGACAACTTTCCAAAACCTTCTCTATCACCAATTCCATATAGAATTCCAAGTCCTCCAAGTTATCATTCAGCAGTTACATTGACTAGTTGATCAAGTGCTTGTGATGAATTTACAAATTAAAGTTAAACAATGATACATGTGTGTTTTAACAGTTTTTGTAATTGCTTCATATTCATGTAAATTCTTTTTGCATTTTGACTAAACTACTTGTTTAAGCTTTAGTAGTCATTTCATTTTCTTTATATACAGTAAACACTAGGAAATGCTCAATTTTATTGGAAGTTTTTATGTTATGATTATAAATATGATGTAGACAACAACGTGAAAACTGCTACAAAATCTTATTAATTCAAGGTGGTACATCTCGAAGTAACACATATTAGGTGTTACTTTGTTGAAAAGTACTCGGCGGGAAACACTAAGTTCCAAGGTAATCACCACTTGTCATGAAGGCGTACCCGCAATCTTGAAGGAACAAATGCTCCTTGTATATCTATCGTCTGACTAACTCAGAAGAAAGATTTCGGATTGTCAAACTAGGTGAAGTGGGTTCGAATTATTCAGAGAGTACCACTTTCGATGGAGTTTTGTTCTCTGATAGAAGTTTGTGCTGATGATGTCGTTCAGAAGAACGATGAAAGCTCCACGACCAAACCATCCAACTCAGAGAACAAAACTTCTTCAAAATCATCCAACTGAGCTACAAATCTTCTTCACCATCTCAGTATCACTTTCCTCAGAATTTCAGGTAGACCTTAGTAACAAATGGCAAACAGCGTAAAGTAATGGTCCAGCATCAACTGCCACCAACCATGTATCATCTAAAACTTAATGCATGCGACAGGAAGTTACGTCGAATAGTAGCTACAGTGAAAATTGACCGGTTAAATTAGATCAACACTAACGACTGGAAAAACGTGATATCATCTTCTAATCAGTGATCAGACAGTGTACATACTAGTTAATGAGTGAACCCATTAACCATATAGCAACGTAAGATTATTACAATCTTGTATTAAAGAAGAGAGCGAACACGTGTGGTAGGTTGTGGTTTCATGTTATCTATTTATTATTTGAATGATTGTTAACAGAATAAACTCGGGGAAAATAATTCTGTACATTATTTCAACCAAACATGAAACAAAATAGTTGAAAATTCTAACCTCTAAATAGTTTCAGAGTTATGATCGAGTGTATGAAGTGTCAGCCCTCCCTTTTGAAATGTTCTCACTTGTATACAGCCACTGCAAGAAAAGTCCTACTCACTGCCTTGTTGCACCATAGGTATTGTTTACGAAATTCAGAGGACGGAAATCGAATATGAACACGTAGAGTCCACCTAGGGAAGTTGAAAAACCCTCATTCCAAATCAATGATGAACATAGGCTCCAGGATCCTGAAGGAATAAATGACGTATAAACTTATTGTTGGTCAATGGCCACCATGAGATTGCATTTCGTGACGTTGCTCCACTATCTTGTATCCATCAACTGTAATACAAAGAATACTTTTAGTATTAATAATTATAGATTATTGTAAACGTTCAATACAATTAAACCATTATTTTTTTATTGTCAGTTTTCTTTAGAACAAAAGAACAACAACACATAATCATCAAGGAAAGAGAAGAAAGAGTGAAGGCGCGCACGCGCTCGTGCACACTCACATATACACACGCACGCATGAAGAGTTTTCATCACATCAATTGACAATTTAACAATAATCAAATTGTTTTCTAAACAAAAATTGTATATTTATTTGCATGTATCAATCTATTATAACTAACCTTAAATGACAAACTTACCAATATACATATACATATATATATATATTTATTTATTTATTTTAACACATAGATATTGGTACAGGGAAGCACCAAATACATATGCGCCACACAGATCTCATTTGATATGTGTGAGGGCTGTGGTACTGCCCGGGTGACCACACCCCTAATCTTCGACCTGAAGATCTGATCCACATGGCAGTGGAGCATCGTGAGGAGATGCAGTCCCATGGTAGTCGGTGACCAACGATTGGTTCGTGCGCCATTTGTTCCTTAAGGATATTGGAGCTCATGTGCACCATTGATTTGGGATTAGGTTAAAGCGCCGGACATTCGCTCTTCGTCCTCTCATTTTAGTAAACAACACTCCTTTGTGAGAAGGCAGTGATTAGGACTTCCCTGACAGAGGGTATATATGCGTGGCCATGTGAGAGTATTTCGAGAGGGAGAGCGGACTCTCCCAACTCTCAGCAGTATCAGGGCGTTTGGGGGCCCATACATATATAAACTGTATTGCTTAAAACTACTATGGGTTATCATGATATTATCCTTTTTTTATGGAAATGTACATTCATGATATTTCATATTGTAAATGGCTATAATTACTAAATTGATGATAAAGGTATTGAATGTTTTCAAGTGTATTAAGTAGTTATTGTTTCCCATTATTGTATGAGATCTGGGAATGCGATTTCAGCATCCAGACATGACGTCATTTTGAAATAGTTTTTTAATATATTAGCTGCATATTTACTTTATAGATTAATGATCATGGGGACACGTTTGCGAATGTCCGGCGCTTTAACCGGACCCCAAACCAATGTTGCACATGGGCTCCACTATCCTGAAGGAACAAATGGCGTATGAACCAATCGTTGGTCACCGGCTACCATGGAACTGCATCTCCTCACGATGCTCCACTGCCTTGTGGGTCAGACGTTCAGGTCGAAGGCTCGGGGTGTGGCCCCCTAAGAAAACCACCTGCTTCGGTTTGGGCACCCGGGCAGTATCACAGCCCTCACACATATCAAATGAGATCTGTGTGGCGCATATGTACTTGGTGCTTCCTTGTACCTATACCTATGTGTTAAAATAAAACAATAGGACAGGTTTGCTATGCTGTTTTCCAGTGACCTTTTTTCAAATCAATCCCTTTCTTTGTATAAAACCAGGATTACTTACGCCTGTTACTCTTAATGGAGCAAAGGCCGCCGAACAGCATTCTTCAACCGACTCTGTCCCGGGTTTTCTTTTCTAATTCCATTCAATTCTTGTTTATTTTTATCATGTCTATCTCCATCTCCCGGCGTAATGTGTTCTTTGGTCTTCCTCTCCTCCTTCGACCTTGAGGATTCCATATGAGGGCTTGTCTTGTGACGCAGTTGGGTGCTTTCTTCAATGTGTGTCCTATCCGCTTCCAGCGCCTCTTCCGGATTTCTCCCTCCGCTGGGATCTGGTTAGTTCTCTCCCACAGTAGGTTATCGCTAATAGTGTCCGGCCAACGGATCCGAAGTATTTTTCGTAGATCATTGTTAATAAACACCTGTATCTTCTGGATGATGGCTTTCGTAGTTCTTCAGGTTTTCGCTTCATAAAACCCGGATAGCTACAAATATTTATTGTTTAACGGAAATAAATTATTGTCATTACATTCCAGTATATTCAATCGTGCAACTATACCTTCAAACCATGAGTTGTTTCTTTTATGTTACTGTTGCCCAACCGGTCTACTTTCGATGATGGGACCTAAAGGGACGAATGTTGTAGCCCGTATAGCTCGTTTTTATCATTACAATAGGAAAGCCCAACAATAAAATCTGGGTAACATTTACAGTCGGGTGATGGCGAAAAAATTGATAGTGATTATAGTACCACTTAATCTTAGAATGTCTATATACCATATCAAATACTATCAATGGATAGTTGCGTTGGAAGTATGCCGAAACAATACTATTCTACATGTTGTCAGAAAAGCTTCAAAATTATATAAGGTTCAAATATTCCCAGAAGCCCCAGTAAAATTACAATATTTTCTATTAAGTCTAGTTTCATCTTTCTTACTTACTTACGCTTGTTACTCCCAATGTATCATAGGCGGTTGACCAGCATACTCCAACACAATTTCTTCTTGGGCCTTCCTTTCTAGTCCCATCCAATTTTTGTTCATTCTATTCATGTCCGTCTCCATTTCTCAGCGTAATGTGTTCTTTGGCCTTGAGGATTCCATGTGAGGGCTTGTCTTGTTACGCAGTCCTATTCACTTCCTCTGTTGGGATTTCATATTTCTTACATCAGTTAAATCTTGAGATTCATGCTTCCAACATATTACTTTATGTTTTTGAATGGCATGATATAACAAACATTGATATTTTAACCTTTGATTGGGACATCATGATGAATGTCAGTTTATACGTCGTATTCAATCAGACCACGAGAAGGCAGTGAGTAGGACTTCCCTGGCAGAAGGTATATACTCGTGGCCATGTGAGAGCATTTCGAGAGGGAGAGGGGACCTCCCCACTCTCGGCCGTACCAGGGCATTTGGGGGCCAAAAGAACAAATACGATAAATAATTTGTGGGAAGAGATATGAAACAGTATGAGCAGATAAACCACGTGTTATTTTACGATTACCAGTAAATACTATAATTTCATTCTTAATCGCTTTCTATAAAAAAATTCACATATCTCTTTGATTATAATCTACATTTGGACACTTCATGAATTATGTTTAGCGTGAATATCCAAAAATGACGTCTATAGATGAAATAATATAGTTTGAAAACAGTAATACCCTTTATGATACACAAAAACTCAGACAGCACCATGAATTGACAAAACCATAACATTGAAAATCTGAAGGGATACTGTTAATAGGACAAGGAAAAAATGATAAAGCAAAACAAATAGAACAACAGAATTAAGTATTTTGTTTGTGCTGTATATCATCATGCATTATATTAAGCATGTTACAAAATGATTCGAGGTAATTTAAGCTACTGAGATAATATTAAGTAGTGCAGCATAGAACAATTGACATTCTAAAGGTGTATTTATATAAGTACAGATTGTAGAGCATTTGTAGAGAGATATTTGAACTTCAAATGCTCCAACAAGAAAGATTTTCAGTAAAATACCGCGATTCGTCGATGTATGAACATACAAACTGTCTCCTGCTTAGATAAATAAATATCTCAGTATTCAATTGATGTTAGACCACCGAGGAAAACTTGGACGTCCGTTCCATCCTATTGTGAGAGGAGTCTACTACGTACAGGTTTTCCTTAGTGGTTTAGCTTCAATTGACTCATGACTTCAACTACTGAAATTACTTCAATCTCCACAAAACCCCTTCCTATACAAATAAATATCTACTAAAAAACGTCTTGAAGAAAGCACTGAAAGAACAATTGGTAGTAGATTAGCTTGAATTGTAGGATTCACATGGAATGGAACCATCGACTAAGGATTATATGGACAACTACAATTACAAAGACCACATTTTCAAATAACAAGACATATTTATACACTTCCAACAAACCACAAGTTAGTCAGATAATTCAAATTTATCTCTATGCGGATTGAATAGAAAAAATGGAGAAATCAGTCCTTTGTAACAAAGCAAAACAAGTATGATATAAGGCAAAATTACTTTCTCCTTTCAATTTAAAAACAGTAAAAGCTAATACAATGCCCTATGATATTTGCCACACAAGGGAAATTCGAATCCAAACACTAGACAAAACAATACTACTGATGATAATTGGTTATAAAACCAAAGATCAAACAAATAATTCCCTGTTATAAAGTTACATAATTCAAATGAAATAATTATTCAGTAGATCAATATCGATTGTATAATTAATTTAAAAATAGCAAAAAACCCCCCAGTGATTAAGAAACATCACTATATTCACTACTGATCAATCAATCAATAATAAATACATCTCAGTCCTATTGGATTAGGGTGGAGTGGGAGAATTTGAATATTACAAAAAGTATCAGTACATCTTGTTATGACATATATGCTAACTAACAAGTAACTCAAATTAAATTTAGTACTCTGTCAACTACCTCCGACGATCTATGAATTCATAGTGAGTTTTCAAAGACTAGAACAATGATTCAAGACATTACAACTTATAAATACATTATTATTATTATTATTATGATTAGTATTATCATAGTAAAGAAAAAGAATTAAATTAAATAAATTATACTGATGATGATAATAATAATAATAATAACAATAATAGTTAATAATGATAAGAAATGCCACACATTATTTTTTGTTATTAAAAACAATTCTCTTCCAACCAACCCCCCTCCAGGAAACTAAATTGGTCAAATTAGAGTAGAGTAGAGTAGAGCAGAGCAGAGAAAACCAATAAAATAGTAATGGTTTTTTTTGTTTTTGTTTGTTTAAAACAATCACTAAATAGCAGATTTATATACATAATTCTTCAATGTTAGATGTAATAGTCATGAGAGAGCGAGAGAGAGAGAGAAAAAAAGGAGAGGGGGGCGAAAGGAAGATAATTGATTTCAGGGAATTCAGTATCATTATTATGAAGAAAAATAAACCTCATTCATACATCATATGTATAATTCAAAATAGGGATTACTGTGCACATTGTCTAATGAACAATTAAAGCATATCAATCAGTGTAGAATGAGGAAATCTCAACAACCATAACAATAATGATGTATGTATGTGTATGTGAGAAAGAGATAAGATCATTGAAGAGGTATATATTTATGTGTATAAATTACATAATTATCTAAAGAAAAATATTATGTGTCTAATTGTTAATATGTACATATATTGATGAATTAAAACAAAATGACAGGTTTAGAACTTCATATACCATTGTGTCACATACATACATACATACATATACACAAAACAAACACGCACACACAAATGATCATTTGGTTAAGGTTCAGAGGGAGAGAGAGAGAGGTGTATTTATGTTTAAAACAAAAAACAAACCAACAAATATTTTTCAATGTAACTCAAGTTTACATTAACGCGCGTGTATATATATATATATATATATATATATAGAGAGAGAGAGAGAGGGCATTAAAACACCCTTAAAGAGAAAGTGATCAACACAAAATAACAATATACACAACACATACACGAACACACAAACACACACCTAGCTACATACGTCGTACACACTAAAAAAAAGGAACAATATGAAACAATAAATGAAATTAGTGATGATGATAATAATAAAGGAAAATGAATTGAAAATTATCATTCAACACAAAATAGATGTGCGTTTACTTAATAGTTTTCATGATCATCTTTCTATTTTTGTCCTACTCTACATGTCAATATATATATATATATATATATATATATATATATATATATATAACCCTATGGATAAAAATAAATATTAACAAATACGTTGTGATTACAAATGAGATGAGAAAGAGAGAGGAGGAGGAGGGGAAATAGGAAACAAGACTGAAGATTGTATGTTTATGAATGTAAATCTTGATTACAAATTCTATCTATTATGAACAGATTTTTTTTAATTATATTAATTAAAAATTTGAAGCTTCAGAAGGATCACGATTATTTCCAGAGGTATAAATGCGATCTTGATGTCGATGTGATGAATTCGACATTGATCTTTCGCCATGATTATGCCTTGATGAATATGGAGAACTGTCATCACGATCTCTTGATCTATGTGAAGAAGACGAATCACGATAACGAGGATTGTATTCATCATGACGATGTGATTGTTGTTGATGATGATAATGTGGTGGATGTGCATGATGTTTACGATCATAACGAGAATTATGATGAGAATGATGACTAAAGTATGGATGTTGTTTTGATGTTGATGATGATCTATAATGATCAAATTTACTGGAATTTCTTGATTGATACGAGTTATGATGTCCATGTGAATGATGACGGTTTTCATAATGACCACTGTAATCACGAGATGATTCTTTAAATTTTTTAGATGCTGAAATACTATTATTATTATTATTATTATTATTATGAGCTGTAGTAGATGTAGTAGTAGTAGGTTGACGTGATTTTGATAGATCATTATCTACATTTGTTTTTAATTGACACGTTTCAACAATCGGAGTTTGTAAATCTGCAACATTATAACTAGTTTTAATTGATTGAAAACATTCCGGTATGATATCAGTGGATATATGTTCTACTGAATCTAATTTTTCATCTAATACTGGTGTTCCAATACTTATTGGAGGAGAATCAATATCAATAGTTATAGATTTTGAATTGGTTACTAATGATATAGGAGAGATCATTTCTGTATTGGTCGTCTCATTCTCAACAAATTGGTTGATCTCATCTTTCATAGATAATGATGATGAAGAGTTCAAAAGTGAATTATCTTGACAAATAGATTCATCACATTGAAACTCTATAGTTCGATGATTGTTGACGATTGAATTATCAATCATATTAATATCATTATCCAATTCATTAGATAATTCATTATGTTTTAATAAAGTATTATTATTACTTGAGGATATTGAATCTTTTTCAGGAGATGAATTATATGTAGTACAAATTGAATTTATAGTTGTATAATCATCTGAAACTAATGTTTCAACAGCAAATTTTGTAAATGGTTTATATTCTTTATTATTATTATTATTATTATTATTATTATTATTATTATCTGGAATTGAAATGACGGTTGTAGAACATTCATAACTAACACCAATACTACTATCATTAACGTTTTGTTCAGTAGTAGTAGTAGTAGTAGTTAGATTATTGTGCAAATCTATAGAAGTATCTAACAATGAATTATCATCATCATCATTAGTTGTTATGAATGAAATATTCTCATCTTGTACATTATTATTCACAATAGAATTACTACTATTAATATCATCTATATCAATATCATTATTAGGATGAGATATATTTTCAGTTGAAGTAGGACACATAATGTTATCATGATCATGATCATCAACATCATCATCTTTATTATTATCATCTACAACAACTTCCTTTTCATGTGATGATTCAATCGATTGATCTTTGTTGAAAGGATTTATTGAACTATCATCTATGAGTATATTAGAACTTTCTACATGAGTATCATTATTATTATTAGTAGTAGTATCATTATCGATTATCAATTGATTTGTGATATTAATTTTATTCAATGAATTATTTGAAGAATTTATTGATGTTGAAAGTTGATGATCACAATCATTTATTGATTTTAAATGATTATTATTATTATGATGATGATGATGATAATGATTAAATGACATAATAACTGGTTGATTGGATTTCAATACAAATTGATTCAATTCTGTTAAAACGTTATGAACTGAAATATGACTAGAGAATATTGGTTTTATATTCATTAAACAAGTTTCATCATCATCATCATTCCAAATTAAATGTGATTCATATAAATGTGTACATAATAGTGATGATGATGATGATGAAGACGACGACGTTGATGATGACTGGATTGATGTTTGATCGATTGAAGATATTTGATTAACTGAAGGTGATGATAAATGTTTAGCATCATCTGATATATTCATTGAATTATTTAAACTTTCAATAGACATATTATCACATGTATTATTATGGTTTAATTCAGATAAATGATTGGTAGTTAAACATGATGTATTATTATCTTTATTATTATTTTGTAGATTGTCAATAATTTCATGAAGTAATTCTGGTTCTGGTACTAATCTTTTACGTGTAATGGAACATTTACGTTTTCTTGTTGATCCAATACTAGGTGATGATGAAATATTCAAATGATCATCAGTAGATGACATAATAACTAATTGATTATTTGATGTAGGTTTTAATACTACCGATGATAAACGATCTATAGAATCATCATTAGATTGTAAATCGGATGACTTTAAAGTATTAAGTGAATTAAGAGATGAATTATTGTTGTTATTATTATTACTATTTGTAGTAGAAATGATTGGGACATTAGTATTTAATGCTAAAGTATTCACATTAGTTTCCTCTGTATTAGATAAGATAACAGAATCATTTGAAAGTTGTTTAGGTGAATTTTTATCAACCGTATTACATAATAAATGATTTGAATCGATTTTGACTAATGACGATGAATTATGGTCTATATTAATATCAGATGATGTTTGAACAATATCTGATTGAGTTGGTGATGAATTTTCTGACATACATATACGTTTAACGGGAATATTGAGAGATTCATCTTCTTTACTGGATGATACATCATCAATTTTATCAGAGAGTACAACAGTTGATGGAGAAAATTTATCAGGTAATAATGATACAGGATTAGATGATGTAAGTTTCAACGATTTATTGAAACCTCTACTTCTTCCACGATTATTGATTCTAAATGGAATTCGACCACGAGAACATAAACTACGTGATGATGGTGATGATATTTCATCAATAACTGGGTTATTTTCAACGGGTAACAATGAAATGGAAGTTTGTTGTTGTTGTTGTTCTGGAACAATGGAATTTTGAGGCAATGTAACTGTGGATTGTGAAGAGTTGGTTTGACGTTTTCGTTCCAACCAGTCAACAACACGAGCCAGTTTTTCACCCTAGATTTTTAGAATCAACAGAGAATAAATTACATAAATAAAAATGTTTAAGGCTAAAAGAAAAGAGGACGATCAAACAACACATTACGCCGTGAAATGGAGAAAAATGAACAAAAATTGGATGGAACTAAAAAAGAAGATCCAGGACAGAGTGGGTTGGAGAATGCACATCGGTGGACTATGCTTCAATAGGAGTAACAGGCGTGAGGAAGTATTCTTTTTTCAAATCTAAAAACATTATTCCGCATGAAATCGAACCGCTTTCAAGAGTTAAAACATATTACCTTATACGTAAATATCAACATAGAATATGACGATGACAATTATGAACAATAATCTTTAAAAGTGGACCGATCCACTAACTATAATGATGTTGCATTGACAGTGTAAATTAAGAACGGAATCATTTAATCTTGAAAGGCATCGTGACTGTACATCAGGATAACTTATTTATCAAATACAGAGATTTATAATCATACTAATAATCTTGTGAGGACGAATGATGCTGCTCATATGAGCAAACTGAAATAGATATTTAGTCACTTATAATCAAGGTACAGAATGACACGAATGTGTACACTAACCCAAACTTTCATACCACGTTAGTACAACAAAATAAAACTAGCAGGATCAAAAGCGAAGGAATAGAAATAATGTATTACTGATGATAATGAGAATACGACCAAACATTGAGAATATGGTTCAAGCAGATAAAATGAAAAGGTATATGTGAAGGAATATGAAATCTTAAGATCTAGATGGAGTAGGATCAAAAGCAAATACATGAAAGACATATCATACAAAGTCTCCGGCCACTGACTGTAATTATCTGGAGGACCCCCAACCAGGGTATTGCACACCTAACAGGACAGGTTAAAGCAGTAATAAACGAATTCATAGACTGATGACATATTTTCATTAAGCTGTCCATAGTAAATGGAATTGTGTGAGGTTGTAGTCTATTCGTTGAAAACTGAGAACTAAAGCCTACAAGAAGTCACTGGCTCAATTAATATAAACTTCCCTTTCCAGTGACTTAACTTAAAAATTATTATAACTGAATTAGTTATCTAGAAAATTGTATATGGTGAAAAAATCACTACTATCGTATGTAATGCTACACATTTATTTGAACACATAAATATTGGTACAAGAGGCCACCAAATATATATGCGCCACACAATGCTACACAACCATACTCAAACCAATTATAGAGTAATCCAGCCTAGAAGTACAAAGATCATACTACAAAAAAACCTAAAGACAGAAAAATTTTACACAACAAATACTAGTTAATTAATTAAGCCAAATTTCGTGCATGAAAGGCTTTGAGAGACAAATTACGCATGACAGTTAAAGCCGGCATACATCTATCGAAGCACTAATGGTACCCTACTATTATTGTTGATAAGACTTTACAATAATCTCACTGTTTATAATACTGGCTGCATTCCAATCTGTGTTGGGAATAATATGTGTCTTCTGTGAGAAACGGTTCTATATAGCGATTAAGTGATAAGCTATTCTATAGCTATCTGCACTCAGTAACTCAATGGATAAAGCAACAGGTGTTTGAAGTGGAAAGTACTGGGTTCAAGTGTCGGCAAGTAAATCAATACTGGTATATACAAGTACATCTAGTTACCAACCAACCAAGCATACTAGATAGGACAGTATAGCATGTTCCGAATTTCACGATGGTTAGCTACGCTAATGATTACATCACAAATCGACAACCTTAAAATAACAACTATGTTGATGTGAACAGAGAAATGAAGAAACCATGATAAACAACGGAAGTTATTTTTGGGGACACTATTTCACTTAATCCGACGTTAGTAAAATACTAACGTTTGGTTTTTCCCTAGTTTATTCCATAAACCATAGGCTTTCGTTTGATGCATGATTCAGAGTTATAGCCTTTTCTGTTCCAAAACTATTGTAATTTTAACGTAACCATTTGTACCATTTGCCCAGTCTGAACATAATTGTATTCTCCTAATTGTTTGTGAGTTGCGGTCATGTTAGTCATCTATTTATTAATGTATCTTTTCACTTTAATCTGAACGGAATAGTGTTTTAGTTGACTCGTCCTCTCTCTCGTTCCCAATCAATCACGTGATAGAATAACATTTATCTCCTTGCCCAAGATCGTTAGTCTCAATTCGGATTCACACATTTCCAGACTCACGGTTGAACTCATTAGCCTATTGTATCCAAGCCATAACTTAGATCGAGACAAGTTCTCTCCTGTATATTCACTGGGTAGAAAGACCAAGGACGTACATATGTCTTATAGACAACGAACATTTAAAATACTTGTGTATTTACATGTTGACATATGCTGTGTAACATCTCCCACCTGGTATGGCTAAAGATGGAAAGTGTCCGCTCTACAACTCCATAAGCTTTCATATGGCAACGCATAAATAGCCACTCCCACGCAAGTTCTATTCACTGCCTCCTCGCAAAAGGGTTGTTGTTTACCCAATTGTGAGGATGGAAAGAAAATATCAAATGGATGCTTAAATAGGGTTATGGAGTACGGAATATTCAATTAGAGGAGCAGGAAATACTTGATTATAAATTAGTCGTGAACATTGGCTCCACGGTCCCAAAGGGAACTAATGGCGTATGAACCTATTATTAGACGTCGGTTATTATGGAACCGCACCTTCAGACATTTCCAGTATTTGGTGGACTAGGTCTCGGAGTGGCTGTCTAAGAAAACCACCTGCTACGGCTTAGGTCCCCAGGAGGCAACCAAGCTTACACACAAGTTTACTAATAACTAGTGTGTGGTGTATAAGTTTATGTGTTGAAATAAATAAATAAATAAAACACGATGTGTAGGTAAGATTACTTATTATCTCGAGAAAATACGATAGATCTTAAAGTAATAGTTACGATAGCATAGTTCTTCTACCAACAATATAATTTGAGAAAATTCCCTGACAAGTCTACTGTCACAAAAAAGAGCCCAGAATGGGCAAAATAAAAACTAATCACTAGGAAAACGCATTAGGTTGGATAGCATTTATAAGAACACAAATTCCCAAGAAAATCAAACAAACCTTTTGCTTTAAAGTGCCAACAGGAATTGTAGCATTCTTCTCATCGCTATTTGATATATTTCCAGATGTTGTGGTACATTCTTCAGGAGACGTTTTGATTTCAAATGTTTGTTCATCTTTGACAAATGCCTCTGAGAAAGGTATTTGATCACGGGTGAGTAGTTCAACAGCTGAATACTGTCGTGGTAAACTACCACGAATACATTGATTATCAGGTTTGCGAAGGAAACAATAAGGCTACGGAGGGAAAAATAATAAAAAGGTTTTTTATGCAACAATGATTATCATTCATTTTATTGGTTTTCAAAATTAGCTTATTCACTTTATGACATAGAGAACTGAACGAATTCGTTGGTGTTTATAACACCAGGAAGAAACAGAATTCTCATGTACTATTCTCTTTTAACAGTCAAAACGACATATATAGATACTTACGGTTAACTAATATGTTTAGAAGACTAAACTTTTAAAAAAGCATTAAGTGTTAGACACCTAGAAACAGCCTGTATACTAATGCGGCAAGATTGTAGGTTGAAAGTTAAAAGACTAATTATCACGTTCTTTTCGACTACTCCATTCAATTATTCAGAAATTCTACAATTTGAACGATTCTCTATACCTAATTAAATGAATATTTTGAGACGGCGTATACTACGTTAAAAAGTATTAGATTACCAGATGAAACGGTAAATAATCGCGAATATGAGATTTCACTGCGTAATTTCTTATCAAACATCTTTCAGGAGGGCAACCTAAACATTTTAGTTAAACAATATACACATATCGTATACCAATATAGAATTCATTAATCAATAGAATACATCTATCAGTATAGGGGTTGTGGAGATTATTAAGTTTAAGACTGAGATCATGAACTGAATACACCTAGTCTGATGGAATCGTTAACTGTATGTTTCAGCACAAGCTAGCTCAAAGTAATTAGCTCGAAATCATCATGAAAGACACAGAACTTGTAATTGTGATTAATTTTCACCTGTTTTCTCAACTGAAGAAACAGATGTTTTAGAGCATAATGTTTTGTGAAGATAATTTAGTACAAGGTTATCTTTCTTTCCGTACTAGTATCAATAAAAAAGACCACTATAAACCAGAGATCTCTAAACAGTTATACTGTCTTTGTTTTGAACTTTCAATGGATGCTTACAAAGGATATCGTGAAACAGAATTAAATATCAAGTACTCGCTAATTTTAGTCATATACTGTGACGACGGACCACGGGTAAACTCGAGGAAGCTATAAGAGGCTCAGAAGGAGCCGAAGATATTCCATCCAATCACCGTTAGCAAGAATATTCTAGAATCCCTACGTGTAGCTTCCCGATTGGACAAGGCTAATAACTCCCTGTATGCGGATTGGAGGACTATAATGATGATTTTTGTTCTTACTAAAACTATAAATACCTGACAATTTGTACCCATAATTGACACTGTTTGGAATAACATTCCTTTCACTAGTCTTCTGTCTTCTCTTTGCGACTTGGAAGGGTTTGGGCGTTCGTGTGTTCAGTTGTACGCGTTATATCAAGTAAATCAACCATTTCTAGATATAACATATACAAAGTAATCTCAAGTGCTGATAGAGATATAAAGATAGCCATCACTTCACGGACACCCACATGGTTAAAATATCCTTCTTTTTTTAAACACCTGATAAGAAAACTAAATAAGTAGTAGTCTTAGAGACCTGGAAGTATACCCGCAGAAAAAGGACAGTTATTTGAAGCTGATCATACGAAAGTTTTGTGTGAGAATTTGAGAATTAGAACCATATTTAAATGGCCTTACTACCGATGACGGGAATCTATGGGATAATTTAAAGCATCTCAAGTCTTGTGCAGTTATTTCAAACTCCTACCCTCCTGTGTGAAAAGGCTATATAAGTACGAATGTTGGTTGTCTAAGGAAAATATCTTACAGTTGCCACACCTTAGTACAATCAACAGTAAATTTTCTCTTTCGATCACTGAGTTGAACACTTAAATTATACCGTTCTTCAACCAACTTAAACAAAAGAATTTTCTAGAAAATATACTCCAAATGGTAAGTTTGATCACCATTCCATGGAAGCAGCTAAGCTAAGAGTGGTATGGCGGCCTGGACCGATCTACATATGTGTTTGATTTTAGGTTGTATATGATTAACACCTTATTTTTCAACTGATATCGGACTATAATGAAAATGAACTTCAAATTAGAATCTGTTTTCACGTTTTATATATTCAGAAAACCACTAGATTGAATAAAACTAAACTGAAGTGAGAGATAACAGCATCAAAATTTAACCAGCCAACAGTGCAAAAAATACAGTATAACAATAGATTATTGCTATGAATACTTATATCTCAAATTTACATACCTTCATACTGACTTTTAAGTAACCAGGAGATATTTCATCAAATCTACAACTATGATTATCAACTGATGACTGTTCAAATAATTTTTCACAAACAAAGAAATATTGAAACTGATTTGCAGTAGGATTGGAATCATTCAGATTGTAATTTTTCATTGATGGCATAAATTCTTTTATATGTGCTGTATATAGTAAATCAGCCGGTCTACCAACTCTATATGCTGAAGGGCATAACACCATACATCTACCAATCCAAGCGTCTAATGGAAGAATAACACGTCTAGCCTCATCATAGACAACTTCATCAAGATGCCAAAATTGTGGACATTTTGATGAATCATTTATTACCGATATCGGAGGTAAATCATATGGACGCAGAAATAAACCACCTTCTAGCCAAGCTAAACCACTAAAAAATGTGTTAGAAACAAAAACTTGATTATCCAACAATCTACATTACAGATTACATCAATTTAATTATGCAGACTATAACAGTGAAGGGATTTGAAAAGCACTAAAATGTAGTTAGTGAAAGTAAAACGTGATAGAACACTGGGTGTTGAATGGTGACAAATATTCAGCTATGCCGGACTCACTGAGTTTATAGACAGTTTTTAATTGTGTTAAGTGAAGTATTTTTTGTCAATTATATACTGTAGCTCTCTATATTTGACGGCGAATCGTTTGTCTAGTGTAGTATGATCTCAGTCGGTGCATCGTGTATCGATGAAGTACCCAGTCAATTGACAACATATAATGACGGTCACGAAAGTAAAATTTTGAAAGATCAGTGACTCAAAATATTACCAGAATACTGAGATTTAAATTTTGACAGTTTGAGATAGAGAACGTACAACAATGTCACAAATGATTTTAAAGGCATCATTAAAAACTAAGATACTGTTATTGAGAAAGTAAGAAATAGTGGATGGTTTGAGATTTACTATTAAGTTCAGCATTAAAAAAAACAATCTTACATGATCTAAATCAAAAGTAATTATCAACTGACTGATTATTGAGTAATGACGGATGTCATGTTTAGCTAAGTTTTTGGTGTCGATTGGATTTTATCGAATAAGTCAAAATAAGTGTTACTATTTTAACTGAATTAATATTGAACGGGTAATATGTTTTGATAGTAGGTTGTAAGAATTAATCACCAGGAAACCCTGAATCTAGGTTTCATGTTGAGACTCGTTAGCAAAGTGTACAAGTTTCCTCGACATTACGAGTACGGCTGGACCGAAATGCCCTGGTACGACAGAGGGTAAGAAGAATCAACTTTCCCTCTCATGGCCATGCGTATACATCCACTAAAACGGAAATCCTACTCACTGCCTTCTCGCGGCATTACTGCTGTTTACGAAACTGAGAGGACGAAAAGAGAATGTTCGACGCTTTAACCGGGTTGGTGGACACGGATTGTCCACCTAGGGGAGTTGGAAAACCCTCATTCCAAAGCAAAGGTGCTAATAGGCTCCAAGATCCTCAAGGAATAAATGGCTTATAAACCAATTATTGGTCACCGACTACCATGGGACTGTATCTCCTGACGTTGCTCCACTGACTTGTGGATCAGACCTTTAGGTCGAAGGCTCAGGGTAAGACCCCTTAAGAAAACTACCAGCTTCGGTCTGGACACACGTGAAGTACCATAGGCCACACAAAAATCAAGTAACTTGTGTGGCGCATATATATTCGATGCCTCTTTGTACCAATATTCATGTGTTTAAATAAATAAATAAAGTGAGTACGGCTTCCTGGAGAGTGTTCATTAGCACCAGAACTTGATCAAGTAGGATTTCCTGTTGACAACTCCTGTCCCCTCCAACTCCTAACCAAACCGTAGAGTGAATGATAGACAACAGAAAAGATTTAATGCTATCGTGAAAAAAATATCCAAGAAAGCAAAAATTACTACACAATAAAAAAACTTCGAACCTGACATCCTTCCATAATCGATAAATTCGAACAATAATACGATCATAAGCAGATTTCACTGGAGACTGTAGGGATTGATCTAAAAGTTGTTTGACATTCATTGATACAGTAGTTGTTGTTCCTTTTGATATATCCTGTGAAATATTGAGATGATTTAACCAGAAACGATTAACAAATGCATAATCATCTGTACGTATTTGACAAGTTCCATCAGGACTACCCAATGTCCAGAATTCATGTTCACCTTTTACCAGTGTATCTTGTAAATCAAAGACAGCATCTACATCGTTTAAACTCATCGCTGCAGATAATGAACGAGGATATTCCTTTACAATAGAAAAATTAATTATAAAACTTAATGAGATGGTGAAAAATATTTGACGAAATGACAAGAAGCATTTTTTTGAAATAAAGAAAATATGAGAATAAGATTTATGTAGGGAGATAATGTCTAGAAAAATAGACTTATTCATTCTAAATTATATAGTTAGCTAGACAGGAAACCAAAAATATTTAGTTACAAGTATGACCAAATTTATGCTAAGTAATAAAAATATACCAACAAAGAAATGGAAATGAATCGATGCATTCCAAAATAGGTCATGAAAAACAGTTCATTAATTCTAAGTAATATAGAACTAGGGAAATATGAGTGTATCAATTCACATTGCCATAATACATCACATTACAGAGATGTTAAAGTAGTAAAAGTATTTGGAGGAGTAAAAACCTTTAACTATAGATTATATGATTCAAGGAAAAATGAACTGTCGGTATCGGGTTGTGGAGATTGTTATGTTTTATTGGAATCCAGAACTGACTCAAGTCAGACAAACGATGAGAACCTGGAATCACAAGATGGTCGTTTCATCCTGGTATGCGATTTCGCAGTAGTGTATATCCATAACCTCACCACCAAGACATTTGGTCTCTAAATAGAAGTAAGCAGTCTGTTTTTTTGAATAAAAATACAGAAGGAAATTAAATTCTATGGAAATCCGAGCCACAATAATAGAGATCATACAACCATCTTATCATTCATTATTCTAGAATGCTAATGTTTCCCATTTCTACATGAGAAAAACACTTCACAGAATCTGAATCGATGTTTTATGTAACTGGTGGAAATGTTATCTAACAAGTTAAATAAATGTTGTGTTCAAAGACAAACCATAGATTCCATTATAAACCAAGTATTTATTTAGAATAAGGATTGCAAATCTCTACCAACTATATATTGAATTTATTGCTTCAGCTGAAACATTTACCAGATAGTAATAAACAAAATACCATTTGGTATAAGGATGCATCACACCATATCAAAAGGATTTACCAAAATAAATGTCCATTAGATTAATTGATGTAAATAATGAATGAAAATGATGGATAAATTCCGCAGAAAGAAGAAAAATGAAAATGATAATATTGATTTTTTTTTACAAGTATTTCAAAAAAATACAATGAAACATACTTTTGTTAAATTATCCAATTTTAAGCAAACTGGACATATATAAGGAGCATCAACTTCTCGATCATCTTCACCTTTCACATCTACTTCACCTGTATTACCACCACCGCCACCAACAGCTTGTGCAGCGATTAACGCTGTTTGACATAAACAAACTAAGTTTGAATTTAATCCATTGGAGGAATCATTACGAATAGCCAGACTAAGTGCCCACCATAAACATGGTAGATGTTGCCAAGATGCACATAAATCACATTGAACCATGACATGACCACCTTCAACACGAAAACCACACAAGCATCGAATAACTTCAGCACCACGTTCAAGTGCACGACGATCAGTCTAAGTAATTAAATGAAAGTGAAAAATAGTCCATATAGCGAATATTTAATATATATATATATATATATATATATATATATATATATATATATATATACTAGTCAACTTTTTGTTATAAGCAACTTTAAAACATTGGTGTAGCTTTCGCTTTTAATGTCCAACGCGTTATCAACTAAGTTTAGATGGCCACAAGCTTGTTAAACGGAGATAATGTATATATCTGTCTCTATCAGTAAGGTTTGTGTTATCCTATCATTGATATACATAACGATAACATTGAAGGAATGGTAAAAGGAGTCCATATACGGCAACAAGAATCGATGAAAACTTAAACTTATCTGAGTGTATTTACCTAATGAACTCTAGATAAAATTTACTTGGAGAGAAATATCACACATAATAATGAATATAGAACAGTAACAAACGAAATCCTAGTGAATAATAATATACAAGAATAATATGATAACAAAATTAGTATCAAATATGAACGAAAAGGAAAATCTAACAGTCAACTTACTTTTTTCTTAGAACTGTTATTTTGTGATTTAGTTATACATGGTATGAACGATTTTGGCATTGCAACCGGTATGTGATTCTCTAACTTTAAACTTTCAACCAAATTCGTCTAAGAAAAAAAGACAAGCAGAAACGAACAGTAAACATTGGGAAATTGGAAGAAAACACACACATACACACATAATCATGTCGATCTGTTTGAGAATATTGATGACTTTTGTGCTATTGTAAACAAACAAAGTCTTCGTTCGTTAACATTCTGTGTAACTTCGTGTAAAGTACTCATTATTAGATATACTGAACTGTATCATTTCAAATTGTTCTGAATAAATATTAAGCTACACTAACTTTCTACAGTGTCAGCGGTTAATTATTGATGTGTTTTGTATCATTAGCTGTTATCAAGACCTCAGCAGAACCGTTCATGTTAAAAGTTAGTAAGTAAGAAATAAGAAATATATATCAGAACCATGCAAGTTCACTGTTAGCTACCATAAAAGGACAAAAAACCAGTCAATATACGAGTGGAGGTTAAAAATCCGGTTATGGAACTGAACGTCCTGAGTTCGAGTCCCACGCACGGGACTGTGGGTGATTACCACTCAGGATTCTCTCGAACTAGGACGGAACGGCCGTCTAATGCCTTCAAGTATTGAATGATGGTTTAGCCTAGATCGACTCTTGATTTCGATTATAGAAAAGCTGTGTTACTTTAAAGCGAATGAAAAATAAATTGAGATATTGAAATCAATAAGCTGGAAAGCTCTTCATTGATATACATAGACAGTACAGTAGTTTGTTGGATATCAGACAATTAAAATAAGTATAGTATTTCCTGTATTCATGATTAGGTTTAATTCACTTAAATTAAATATTCGGTCTTTAATCAAAGCTTCAAAGATTGGGAAGCATAAAATTGGTCCTTCTAAATAACTACTCAGTAATATATAACTCACAAACTAGTAAATAGCGTCACACATGAGCAAACAGACAAATCCCAGATGTTCTGTCACAGAAACGATAGAGTTTTTATTACTAAACAAAAAGAAATGTATTACATAAAATTTCGGGTAGTAAGGTTTCAGAATATGATTGAAAAAAGCTGTCCAGAACCATACAGAAGGGAGAGTTTATAAACGTGAAAATTCACCTTTATCTATCAAGAATAAGGGCCTATCTGAACTTGTCGGTTACGTGAGATAAAACGGAAATTCATGAGACAGGAAATAATCGCCAGAAATTTTTTTTACTAAAAAAACTTGAGAGTACACGTAAATGATCAACGACAAAATAGTAGAATCCTAATCTGAAAACAAAAATCGATGAGATATATTATACACTTATACCTCTGCCTATCGTATTCGACCCGATCTATGGTGACTTTCCAACTAAAGGATAAGTTACCTGGTTACGCCACTTCTATGTGTATCTACGAATTCAGCTGCTCCTACGGAAAAAGCTATAGTGGGCGTACTACCACGCAACTGAACCAAAGAGCTAGTAAACACCTCACTTCGTAGTTAGGAAAAGGTAACGACAAGACAATACGCAGCTCGGTTCTATCACACTTGATCGATAGCGGTCATGTAGTGGACAGAAACAAGTCATTTAATGCTATTTATCGTATTCCTACTAGTTCTCCTTATGGGATTCGATCTCGTCTCTTACACGAAGCAGAAGCTATAGGGATTCGAGCCTACAAGCTGAGTCTTTGTGTTCAGGAAAAGCTTGTAACACCCTTATCTCTCCCTTGGCCTTAATAAATGAATTTATTATTCATCATTGTTACTGTTATTTTCTTTTCAAACCTTCTCTTCATTGATTATTTTTCTTCACTCCATCCAATCATTTTATTTTATTTTCTCTCAAATATGCGTTTCACTGTTCAATTATCTGAATACTTCTTATTACTTAGTCTTATAATTTTTATAAATGTTATCTTACTGTAATATTTCCAATTATGTAATATTGATTTGGGCTTTTATTATTCTTATCAAAATCTAGTACACTTGTCATCACACTATCAATTTGTACTAATTCATTTATTATGTAATCGTTTTATTCATTGTTATCATTAACTCATAAACGATCTAGATTGACTTAATAATTACGTATATGCATATAAATACATTACTGTAAAGCCTGATGAAGAACTAATCGAAAACAATATTGTTCTAATAGAAACAGACGAAATAAATAAATAAATAACTAAATAACCCCTTCTCAACTTACACGATGTTTTATATAAACATTTTTTAATTTCATTAAACGTCGACCAAACCAACTACGACGTCCAGTGAATGCTTCCCATACAGTAAACATATTATCCATAGCTATATCTAATGAATATAAACTTTCTATAATATCAGTATCTGTAACTATAAGAAAATGATTTTCTTCTTTTTCTGAAAGTTCAATATGTAATAAATGATGATTTGATAAATTCTCATTATTATTATTATGATGATGATGATGATTATGATTATTCAATATTTGATCTTTTATTGAATTTAATATAAATCTTGATGCAATACTGGCTAAACAAAGTGAAGGATATTCAACATGATATAATTCATTATCATTTATTATTGTATAATTATTAGATAAATTATCAATTGGTGAAAATAAACGATTAATAAAATTCGATGTAAATTTAACATTTAATCCAGAACCAGATAAATGAGATGATAAAGTGAATCGATAAAATTCTGGATACCTGTATCAATAATAAAAAGAATAGATATTGAAAATCAATAAAATGATTTATTTCATTGATCTATATAACAATACAAAATGAATTATCAACCCCTTTCTTCATCATTACTATTTTTTTTTCTATTCTATTTATTTCACATTTTCTGTTTACCATTTTTTCTAAGGTCAACTTCATTAAATTTTGGAGAAACTAGTGACCAGTTTTTTTTATTAAAAAAAAAGAAAAATCATAACCGTCTTTTTACTCAATACATACAATGATGAATTATATATATATATATATATATATATATATATATATATATATATATATATATATATATATAAATAACCAAAGCAACTCTAGTAATAAGTTTTTAAAGAGATTCATTGTTATTTTTTGTTCTTCTAAAGGCAATCAGAAGTAAAAACAAAACAAAACAGAACAAAACACAATGACCTTAAAAAGTCTATAATCGAGGCAATCCGTACAGGATATACATATGCCAACATGAGACTAATCAATTACAATCCAAAATAGCAATGAGATGATACAAATAAATCTAACATCAATCGAATCACCATATATGTTTAAAATTATTTAGCTGAGAAGAGGTTTACATACTATGAACATTCTTGAGAATAATACTCATTGAATTATGAGAACAACTTGACTGAAAATTTTGTATGAATTATGGATTATCATATAAAGTGAATGAAAATTCAGATAAGAAAAACCGATACACTATTTAATGTAAAATTATACTTTATGATTCTTTTAATTCCATCGTTATTCCAGTTACTCTCTGTTTACATTCATGTTCTGATTAATTAAAATTTCTCTAGACAGACATTCCGTTTCCGTCGTCGTTGTTGTTACATACTACTTATATCTGTCAACATAAGTAGCATATACCACCATCAAAACAAGTTATATTCACGAAAAAATACATACCAAATTTGAAAAAATAACACTGTTGTATCACAAGTATAATGAAATTATTAATTAACTATGATGTTTACCTTTCAGGTGATGGTAAGTAGATTATAGGAGCACAAAGACGATAATTTGGTTCTAGTGGATCAGGTTCATCAAGAAATTTACAGAATAATTCATACAGTGGACCACTTAAACAACGATTTTTCAGAAATGAAATCTGTTCCAAACTATAAGAGAAAAAAAAAGGAAAATGAAAACCAATGAAAATAATGGATTAGAATTACATTAATTGAGCAAAGGTGAATTGAAATAGACTCTTCAGAATTTGAGGTAGTACTCATGAAAGTGTGTACTACAAAAGTTTCAAAACTTTAGAACTATTTGAATGACGTAAACGGCACAGTAATACACTATATGCTTAAACGTTTACAGTATAATAAACTTCGTCGAGATAGGATATACGTTGGTTCCATATGAGTTCGACACATGAATATTGATTCTACAAGTTAAACATTGTGATAACAGATAATATAGTTACGCAAATACACAGATCTCAACAACTAACGAACAAAGACGAAAACATGTACAGTATTTTCCTGGCCTCTCAAGAAGCTATGGAATTAGTTATGTTGTTCTAATTTCATTCGTCAGTAAGTTTTCATCAACAGACAGGTAAGATAAACTGAAAGCAGTACATCATATATATACATATATAAACTCTAAGAGGTTATTGGAAATTTACCTGGATATGGCAGCATCTTTGAAAAAACTATTACGACTAGGTAAACGACGGTGTTGTTGATTTATTAATGTTGATGAAGCATCCAAACCTAGAATAGATGAATTAGTCATACTTTTGATAGTCAAATGATCGACTTCAGATTTCATTTTAATGCTAGATTGTAAAGAATTCTTTTTGTTTGTCTGTTTTATCGATAGCAATTTTGATGACTTTATCGACATTGTTAAAGAGTGATTTGAATCGGATTGGGAGCGAGATGTAGCACTATTGTCAGTCTACAAATAAATAATAAGAATTTTGTAACACAATGGATAATAAGACTAAAGTAAAAAACAACTTCGAAGTGATGTTACCAGATCGGATCAAGAGTGGAGTTAACGGATGGGATTAAAATAACTGGGACAAATTTCAGTTGGTTTCTAACCAATTAGAACAGAGATTTTCCTAAATGGACGTTTTATGGACAAAATAATATTACAGTGTAAAAACAGATGTTACATACCTAATAGAATTATCAATATCTGTAATGTGTTACTCTGCTTGTAAATCGAAAAAGCAAAGGCATGTGAATTTGTTCTTATGGATCTAGATTATTTGTATGTTCTAATTAATTTTTAGGGATACGCATATTGTTCTTGGTTAAGTCAGGCATTCCAGATAGGGATTAGGTATTTATGGGTTAGAATGCTTATCATAAACTGACATCAATTATAATCCAAAAAAGGTTTTGTACCTATATAGATGAATTCATTGTATGCAAGAATCCAAGAAACTCTATGTAATAAATGCTCCCATAAAATACGGTACCCTAAGGTTTAATGATTGAATTAAGGGATATTATTAAATTGCCTGTTATATACAATCGGCATAGAAGAAATCGAGTGTTTGATAAGTTTAACATCATTAATTTTACTTGTTCGTGAGGAAATACAACTTTTCGCCATCATTTTATACGTTTAGAGTCGTATTTAAAAAAAAAGCATATCTATCGTTCATCATATTTGAACTTTGTGCAGATCCCTAAAAGTCATATTTTCCATTCAAATTTATTTATTGCTTTTACCAAAATTAACCGTAACATAATAGATTATCTTTAACCTGCTATATCTAATATGAACAAATATATTTCAAATAATATTTTCACTTGTTTGAAATACACTATATGTGTGTGAAATGATTACAAATCCTTTCTTTCTGTCTAAACTAACATGGAAATAAAATGGTGAAGATTTGTTCTCCAGCTGAGAGAACAAACCACCATCAAAAAGGAAATGATATGTTGTAGACTTGTAACTCAATAACTAAAAGTGGCATGTTAAAAATCAGTGATAGTACCCTCCCCCCCCTCCAACCAAACATCTTTTCACAGATGATAATCACCTACTATCAACGGAAGGGATGATAATTTTATCTATTACATTCATGATATATGGTGATGTAGACTACATTTAAGATAATTTGTCCGACTACTCACAAAATGGTTCTTAATAAAACATACTTTAGGTAAATATAAGATATAACGAGCTTCAAGTGACTATCAACAATTGCATAATTACTACTCATAGAGATTGATAAAACTATAAAGAATCTATTAGGGAAAATTTAAATGTTTCTCTATTTGACTAAAATGTGTTTTCAGGAATTTCAACAATAACACCATGTAAATCCAGTGAAAGACGAATCCCAAATAGGGAGAAACGCGTGCCTTAGATTCCAATGCTAGCTAGCCTATACAAATTTATGGTAAGTTTTGAAACATTTGCAAATCAGAGGAGTATTCACAAGAAAACTGAATAAAACACGTTTAAAATAAATAGAATAAATTACCTCTTTCGATGCTGTATCAATTGGAACTTCATTGATTCTCATCTGTTGATTTTCAGTACTCTGTTCAGACGATTGATGAGTAGCTTCTCTACCCTGTAATGATTCTTGTGCATGTATGGTGGATGATGTTAATAACGGTGATTCGTTGACTGACTGAATAGGATGACTGAATATGAAAAGCAATAATAAAAATTGAAACATTAGTAGAATAAATATTTTTCAGTCCATGCAAATTAATTAATTAATTGTATTACATAAAAACCAACTGAAGTTCACCTTAACACGAAATTTTGTTAATTGATTAGAAGTAGATGACAGGAAATCCCGTTTGACTTAGGTGATGTATTATCTGTGACAACTTAGCAAGGCATAAATATAAACCTGACGGAACTGATTCATCAAGTGAGATTTGAACTTGTGCCATCTTTGTTGCAACCTAATCGATGGAATTGAATACACAAAGGGGGTTTGTATTTTCGTATGATCAGATTGTTCGACATGTATAGCGCTAATAGATCACATAGTTCTGATAATCTTTGTCTCCTTATTACATTATCGAAATTTATAAGTAATTGTTTAATACTCGCTAGTTGCTAATTGACTAAAAGCCAGTGAATCACGAAATACAAAAAAGAACCGACATAAGGGATGAACATTTCTTTGACTTTAGAATTCATAATTCCGAATATCTTGCCACCAATGGTTCCTAAAGATAATATTATATAATATTTGAACAGAATAGGTTGCCCTAAAACAGTGGTAGTAATTAATTAAAATATTTAGAGTAAACGATATACATACAACTAACTATAAAACAAAACAAACAACAAACCTTGAAATGGAATCCAACATGTTCTCTGAATCCACAGCACCTGAAAATGATAACAGTGTGAAAATATCAATTATACTGTAATTTTTTTGGTTCACAGAAAAAGAAATGAATATCAAGTTATACGACTTGTTGATCTGTATCTTGGATGCCAAGTCTTTTCTATTACTATTAATAATCTTGCGACTAAATTTACACCTTTGAGGTTTGCCCAGTTTCATACCGCTGTACTACTTGAATATCCCATTCCTGACTGATGCACACATGTGCCAGGTTCTATGTTGGATTCGAATGACTAACCCTATTGGTTGAAAAATCATCATCATAAAACTTGAACGATATCTTAGGTTAAAATCTATCACAATTAATAAAATAAAATATAAATGATCATTCGATTACCACATAAACGGAACACAATATGGTTATTTCGTAGAATAAAACAGTAAACGGTTGTTTTACAAGTTAAATAAAAGTATCGACAAGTCAAATCATTTGTTCCAGAAATTCATATGATCACACAATACAACTTCTGCTAACGGAAATGGAGGTCCTTATGGATAGTCGTCAGCTAACTAAGGTGTGCAGTGCTCTTTGTACGTAAACCAAATAATCGAACAAAGCACAATACTACTAGCTAAAAAACAACCGTTTACTTATTAGGACCAGCTAATTTGTAAGGACCCATTTTATTAGTGATTGTAGAATGTTATATCCAGAGACAATCAACATAATTATTATAAAATGTCAAGGAAGTAACTAGCTATAAAGTCAGCCTGTTAGTCAGTAATACGCAGCATACCATTATCTAGTGTGTCGACCCAAATTATCGTGACCATGAAAAACAATAAACAGTGAACAGAAATTCAATTAAATGAAATATAACAAAACTGACTTCGATTTAGCATATGTTCAGCAACCTGTAATTGAATAGGTCTGGGCTTAGGAGGGCGACCACGACCTCGAGATACAGTTGGCTTACAGGCTTGAATTTCTAAAGCTCCGATTTGATGCTGTTGTTCAACCCAACTGATATTTGTAGTAGGAGATGGTAAACTTCCAGTTTCCGATCTAACATTAATAGTTTCCGGTGTTTCTGGTGCAGAATTGATAGCGACACCAGTATTATTCAAGTTTGCAGCAACTAAACTAGCAAATCCCATCGCTGCCGCCTTGAAAATCAATGGCATAAAAGAACGAAACAGTGAAATGAAAGTCAATCAATGAAGATAACAACTGTTTATGGAAATCATAAATCGATAAATGTTAGACGACCATTGCAAACCTGGAAGAACCGAACAGCTGTTTCGTCCTAGCACGAAACTTTTCGACAGTGCTCATCCACGATCTCGCACACTAGACTCAAACCTATGACCTTCAATTACGTGCGAGAACAGTTAGCCACTAAACCATTAGTCTAAGGTCCCACGGTATTAATCTCCACGATATTGAGCGATCATCTTCCACTGTCTTTAGTCGGTAACTGCATCTCACACGACACAGTTGAACTCCACTGGTAACGACTTCTCGTCAGAACTCATAAGATTCTTTCTCGAAACTAGGCACTAGCGAGTACATGATAATTGTCAGTGTAGGGTTGTGGAGACTGTTGAGTTTTAGTGATTTAAGTGACAACATACAAAATCGTTTCACTGCTAAATTGCTAAATGATTTTAAGAGCATACACTGAGTAAAAAGTTATGTATAGAACAATAGATTTTTCGTTAAGAAATCAAACTACATTATACTAACGATCATAACAAATTTCAGATAGAGCTTATGAGAATTTTTCAAGAAAGTCAAAAACCCATAGACAGATAGCCTGTATTTTCCCTAAAGCCAAGTAAACAATATCTGTATTGATAGATAAACTTATCTTTTGTGCAACTAAACTATAAAAACTGACATGGTGTGTAAGCTTCATTGCAATAAACGCCTGTTAATAGTGCAGATTGGAACTAAAACGCTAATTACTCGTTGAACACACTTGATGGGATATTCAGGATATAGTCAATGGTGCTTGTGTCACTAAAAAAATCCCGACCTTAAATCATTATCATAACAGCTATTAATACCTCAACCACAAATCCCTAACTATTTACGGTCGTATTTAATTCAACATGTGATGATACATTAATTATTATGTCAGAACTGTTTATCCATCGTGACCTTACAATATTTTCACTATAAATTGAATACTGTCTATAGACTAGCTGATAAGATGACCAAGGTTATCAGTATGGTACACTTTTATCAATTATTATTATTATGAAACATCAGCCGGAGCCTTCGACCTAAAGGTGTGATTCACTAGGAGATGTAACCCATGGTAGCCAGTGACCAATAATTGGTTCATACGGTATTTTTCCCTTCAGGATACTGTAGCCTATGTACACCATTCGTTTGAAATTAGGGTTTTCTAACTCTCCTAGGTGGATCCTCCGTGTCCATTATCCCGGTTACAGTGCCGGACATTCGCTTTTCGTACTCTCAAATTCGTAAACAACACCCGTTGTGTGAGAAGGCGGTGAGTAGGACTTCCCTGACAGTGGTTGTATGCACGTGATCATGTGAGAGGATTTCGAGAGGGACAGCTGACTCTCCCTACCCTCGGCCGTAACAGAACATTTGGGAGCAGAATGGTGAAGATAGAGGCAGAGAGAGTTGAACTCTTTTAGTGTAAAGAATTTTTCCTAGTTGTATTTTATAACTGAATTATTTCTCCCAGTATATATGATTGTGTTTTACCTATTTTTACTTATTTAATTGTATTTTTTTAGTTAATACTCACTCTCCGTCTGTCACTACAATCTCGTTTTCTTATTGCATGGTGTATATTTATTTTTGTGCCCAGTTGTATAAATATTTTCGGGTTTAAATAAATGAATAAATGTTCAATCATTCAAAATTTTCACATTAAGCAAGTGATCAATAATTAGACATAGAATTTTACTGTGTCACTACTGTTAGTATTAACGGATGGTGATAGTGGTATTCAATAAATTTATATCTTCAGCTATAAGATACTGTACTTCTCCTACAGACCAACTAACGAAGGGTGTGCTGACAGTCATGAGCATTCACAATATATGAGTGGGATGATGGAAATTTTATGGTGAATATCTTAATAAGTAATGATTGCTTTCGACAAGTTATTTGTTACTCGCACATAACTGTACATATAATTGCATGTTATCATCGCACAGGTTTCAGTTAAGATGACTTTTCATAGTTTAGCAAGCGTTTTAAATTTAAAAAAACAATCACAAATGATGAATATGAGATTCCGAATTACCTCACGTTTCGGACGATCACAAGTTACTGAAACTGAGTCAGAGGAAGATAAGCAGGGGGAAACTGGTATATTACCATTGCTTTCCAGTCTTTCTAAGCGTCTAGACGGACGACCTCGACCACGTTTCCTGTGTTCAGGTTTTGATAGAGAGATATCAGCATTTCCAAGATGACAAACCCCAGTACTTGAGGAATTATCTGTTAAATCTATGACAGTTACAGACAAGTTGTGCTCATTGAAACCTGATTTACAGAAATCTCTGAAATTGTCTTTATCCAAAACAGAGGAAGCATGGTTTTCACTGGTGTTAGATGTATCTATTCCCACCTTATATCGTTTTCGGGGGGGGAGAGCTGAGCTACGTGAAGTAGCAGAACGTCTTACATTGCTTGGAAGTGATGATGAGGCGGAAGTAGGTAAAATATCACAGGCATCGGAACCGTCAGTTTCTTGGAGACGTGCAGACTGTTCCACGAAGTTAGGATCTTCAAGCATTGGATCTGTACTTGTAAGGACCCCATGTTGTGTTTGTCGTTTACGCTTCGCCGATGAAACAGGAAGAGATGAGACAGATAAAGGGGTGTCAAGCTGTTGCCGAGAGTCGACAGTAACAGAACTTTGAGATACTGGATCATTAAGTATATATTGTTCCGGGTGGCGATCCGAATCACAAGGATGAGATTTAAACAATCGGTTAATTTTGTGCTTCTTTTTACGACGACCCGGTGATTTTAGGGGACTGATATTCCGCTTAACTGTAGTTGACGACTGATATGCACCGTCATCAAGTTGTTCAAATGAAGCATGCTGTGATTCGCTTGGTTCTTGTTCCACAGAAATCGGGGAATATTGGGTAACACAGGCAGATTCCATTTCGCTTGCGTCTGAGGTGACTGAAAACGAACACTAAAATCGAAAAAATAGCAGTGTTTTGAAGAGAGTCATATATATATATATGATTAAATGACAATACAGTGGACGATAAACGCGATCTTAGACAACCACCGAAAGCCAACAAGTAGTAGACAAATATATCGTCGGTGTCATCAGACTCTTCAGAATCGTACATAAACGAACCTGGTAAGTATCTAACCCCACAAATTTTAGGTTTCTCTATGAGTGCTTAAATTCGAAACTATTGAGCAAGTAACGAATAGATTTTTAACATATTTCATCAAATTGTGCAAATGTGGTCAATCATTACAAGCAACATTAGCAACAGATTTAACCTAGAACTTTAGGAATTACCTCTAGAAGTTCGTCACTAGTCAGCATATAGTGGTTCTTATCAAGAGGTATTGTAAAGATTGTTGGATTGCATAGTTTACATTAAACGCTGACCAAGAAACTTTACAAAATCATGAAAATATTTTGATAAAGTATTCTGTGAAATTCACCAATTACATTGTTAATAGTGACATTAAACTAAACAAGATTGTAGTAACCAGGCATATACACATAGATGATAAGTATGAATCTAGAAAATTTTCCGTTTCATCTCAAGATATTCATGCATACAGTTAGAAAAATTACTTACTTTCTGATCACAATCCGAATGATTCAATCGAGATTCAACTGCATTATTCCCAGTAGACGGTTTATTGTCAACTGTTGTTTTATGAACGGTTGTTTTTTGAACTGAAATTATATTATCCGATGATACACTTGATACTTCAGTACTACGTCCAGAATATGCGACTACTGAAGACGTTTCACCAGGTTTCACACGACAATTTATTTCATAATTAGTGTGTTCGGAGGCTTTAAATTAAATTAATTAATAGGGTGAAGTGATTAGTTGATAAATATGTCGTCGGGAAGGCTACCATTTATACATACGTAAAGTACACAAACATTATTGGTTTGAAAATTTCAAATTAAAACAACAAGTTTAATGCCAAAAAGTACAAACTTTAGACTTTTATCGGACAAAAGTCCTTCATTGAATAAGCACAAAACTAAAGTTTCATAAACCTCACTGATACTAAATCATAGAAATCAAACAAAACATGAAACTGCGAATATAATAATTATCATTACGGGTTTGTGGAGACTGTTAAATATTTAAGGTTATGAATCGATAGATGTTAGATCACCATTAAAAACCTGGATGCCGGCTCAGTGCTCTAGAGGTTAATTGTTCACTCGCGAGACCGAAGGTCCCGGGTTGAAATCACAAGTGCAGTTTTGTGGATGCTCACTGCAAAGAAGTCCCATACTAGGACGAAACGGCCGTCCAGTGCTTCCAGGTTTTTAATGGTGGTTTAACATCGATCGATTCATGATCTCAATCAAAAATATATATTATAAACTTTAGATTTAGTAAAGTAACTATAAACTAATTGATTTGTAAGGGTAAACATAGATAACACTAGGAAAAAAGAAACTTTTGAGAACTCACATTAAAATTATTTTAAGTGTACGCTGATGAGTTTGAAATAGGTTCGTGAATGTCATTATATCAAGTAACTCAATAAACGTGAATAAGATGACTCAATTAACGTACTTACGTTGTACAGATCCATACTTTCAACTTTGAGTCACGCTTTATGTATGAAAGCTAATGTTACTATCCGATTATTTAAACGGAAGTAAAGGGTGGAGTTCGGACGAGTGATTGAAAGTTAAATACCATAACTACTAAGCCACAGATCGTAAAATCTATCTGAATAGAGTAAAATATTTTACTCGTTAACTCAGGACAGATAAAAAAACCTCAAAATATTTTAATCACTCACAAAATATGTAGAGCGATAAATATGCGAATTCCAATTGAGAGTGTATGAATCTTCATGTTACAGATGGTCAAGGAGATTATGTACTAGGCAGTTAATGAAACTTAGATTCGGATAAAATATTTCATATTTAACCCATTTTAATGGATACTAAAATCTGATTAGGTAATAGATAAAAAAAACCTACCAGCAATTGTAGTATGCATGGAGGCAGCATCAGAGCTTACAGCTGAATGTGTAGCATGGCTGGGAACACTGCCGCTAGTTTGTCGAGTTCTGCGAAGTTTAGGAGTTAGACCTTCTTCTTCTACAGAGGCTATAAAGTCAGTTACAACTGATAACGTCACCTCAGATGGATGAAGTGAGGCAGATCCTCCTTTAGCTTCGATATCTTTTAATTCTTGTTCACGTTTGCGTTGTTCGGCCATTACAGCGTCCCAAGTGACAAGACCACGAAGTTCACGAGAAACACGAGATTTCCCTGAAAATCACATGTAAACACTGGTATGAGAATGTGAAATTTCTTGAAAATACGAAAAACAATTATTGTGACTTAAATGATTACGCTACTAGTAAGTAGTTTATGTTTTGTCATGATTTTTCCCTTCATTTCGTATTGCCTTTTTGAAAGCTTACTAACATATCATTAGTGACTAGAGCTACATTTTTGTGTATTTTAGTTCAAATGTTTACAACGTTGTGACTACATTTAGCATAGATTTGAAATTTGAATAATCACTATACATATATAATTGTAACTACCTTTCTCGAGAATGTTGATGTCGATTAGATCCTAACAAAATTATTTCGTAATTCTTCCGTAAATAGAAAATTGTTAGAATCAATAGATTAGAACGATAGACAACTAATGTCCATTTCGTATCATGTAATCTAGGCTTTATAATGACATTTCTTACGTGTAAACACGAAGAAACTTTGTTTTAATCAGACAGTAGATCACAAACACAGCTTTGGAAATTTACTAGCGGTTCTGAACACAATAATGAAGTGACAAGGTCAGGGGAAGTCTACTATATTCAGTGCCTAATATATCAATCATCTGCGTGCTATGATGCTAGTAAATTCAGAAACTAAACTCAGATACGAATGTTGGGTGGGACATTTACTTGTAAAAGATTATTGTGACTGAAAACATTGAAAACCGTAAGAGAAGAATAATACAGACAATAAGTCCTTAAATGCTTAGCATACTCTATGGAGGTAAAACGTAACATTTAAAGGCAGAGAACATTCTTAACTCGCTAATACTTGAATACATGTTACCGAAGTGTCGCTCGTGTATGGTAGAACTATCGAGTGAACCTGATGTGTTTGGATGTAGGTTATTGAGTAAAAAGAGCAAATCTATTGATGTATCTATGAGTCTTTATCGACTGAGTTGACTGACACATGTAATACGTACGCCAACAGCCGCCTAATTCCAGATCGAATGTTGGTAGCAGTAGGGGTAGATTGTAAAAAAGCTAGGGATAGGCGAACCAAGACGTGGTATCAATATTTTGAAACCACTCATTGTCGGACTGAGATAGGTTAATAACTGCAGGACACCTGGTTAAGGTTCGCTTATTAACCACAGTAAGTACTTAGAGGAGTATGATGAAATAGATAGAAATCGGTGGCAGTAGTATATATTGATACTCCTATAATCCAGAAACTTGTCGTTCATTTTGCGAACTCCATTTTGCTGTGCTGTTATAACGTGACAACTTGCACTGCTGCACATTTGTGTCAGGTTCTAGGTTGATTATATTTGACTGGTTAACTCGTTAAAATTTAACTGATAATAATTAATAAAAGTAATTACCATTAACCGACACGATTATTTGTGTTTGAATGAACTAATAACTCCTTTGTACTTGTTGAATGCCTGATTTCGAATTCTAAATACAATACATTCGTTCGTGCTTATCTAGTAGTTCTTGATCCACTCACGTGATTTCTGGGATTATTAGTTCATACTATAATTCGAAAACTTCTAATTATCATATTATTACAACTTCAGTTTTCTACAAAACAACAGTTTGTATCGGTGACAGTTTCTAATCCAACTGACAGGAAGTGGAAACTAAAGTACACTTATAAATACAATAATAAAATCTAAGTATTTCGCAAGAAAGTATTGATTGAAAACTACACGAGCTTACCTTTAGAAGAAGTTGATTTAGGCATTCGAATAACATGTTGACTGGTTTCTACGTGTTCATTGTTAATCAGATTTGATGATGATGAAACAAGACTAGTATTTGTCAAAGGGATTGATTCAGATGTACCGACTGTATTCGACTGTACAGAAGAAAAGTTACGGCGAAATCCATGGTGTTTTTTACCTCTACCTCGACGTTTAGTTAAACTAGAAACCAGTGTACGTGTGACAGTAGTATTTTCAACAAGTTTAAAATTTAACTTCGAAGTAGAATCTTCAGTAGGATTTGAAATAAACTTTGAATCATTTCGATTTACATCTTCAACTGTCTTAATAAGAGGCAGCTGATCAGAATTTTTTATCTCAGAGGGTATTATTGTATGATGACCAGGATTTTGTACATTAGAGTTTAGTGGAAATGATAATTCTTTCGATTGATTATCGAAAGCACTAGTAGAATAATCTTGTTTGTCTGATGTTAAATCTATAAGTTGAATAGGTTTTTTAGATAAGTGATCAGTTTCTATCGGATTTTTTAATGTAGCCGCCAACAGACGACGCATATTCACCTATTAAAGAAAAATTAACAATTGATTAAAATGAATACATAAATAGAATATGTTAAATAAGGTTAGATGATGAAATTCCTCAACTTATTCATTTTAGATGTACAAACATTAGTATGCTTGAGTTTGAGTAACATTTGAATTGTAGGGACTACTGATAAGATCAAATTATTCAAACTGAAGTAAAGAGAGCTTCAAACCTAAAATTCAATGACTAAAAGTCAGCCACCTTAACAACCACTGATCTAAAATCATTCCTACTTGATGACACATAAATATTGACTTTAAGATTAAACTAAAAAGATTTATTAAAAAAAACCAAGATAGATTGGTAGCAACAGTCTAAAGTGAATACATTTGCTGAAGAAAAATATAGTAATAATGAGGGACCTCTCTGGTGTTCATCGATCTTGATAATTATCAGGAGAAATATATGAGAAAAATAATTTTAAATAACGATAAAAAGAGAAAGTAACTTATATTAGCATTTATCAGTCAATCATCATGTGCTTAATATTTGATCGATTTCTGATTGACCCAACGTACCAAAATGTTTCTAGCACCCACAGAAAAATATGCATCACACACAAGATATTAAAACAAGCACAAACGCCTAGTAGATGAAGCTGATTTATAAAATGGTTAAACAAACTGACAACTTACAACAAACCGATGTACCCGCGATTCAGGAAGTTGTTGAAGCCAAGGTGCACATAACTTTGATTTCACTCCCATATTATCACCCTCAGGAACTGATGTCACGGGACTTCTTAACGGGTTCGGTAGGATAAGAGGTACCCAGGATGCCGGAAGAACCGTCTGTTCTATGGAAGTGGTAGAAGTAGGAGAAGAAATACCACCACGACGAGCACCGCGACCTCTCCGGCCACCTCTGCGTGCACCGACACCTCTACGGGATGGTGTTTCAGATTGACGCGAGGCTAAAGTAGGAGATGCAGCAACTGGGATTGGTCGACGAGGTACCGGTTTCATGTCGATCACACAAGTATCTGTATCAAAAGATATTTTCAAGAATAATAAGTAGAAAAATCGAAAAATCACAAGACATCGGTTAACACAGAATCTTCGAAACAACAACCAAGTACACAAAACAGTATATTGGTGAAACCTTAATTAGACAAGTATTAGCCGGATAAATTGAAAACTACAGAATAGTAACCGTGTTTACCCTAATCGCCGACCCTGATGATCAGTAATTTGCAGACGTTTAGAACTAGTATCAGTCTAATTATGTTTGTGATTTTGGGGACTATGGTCAAGATCCTGGTGAAACAACAGATGAATATTTAACACAAGAATCTTTACTCCGTGGCAACTTAATAACTATCCTGTTTTTCCCATGCATCTGATCAGTAACCTAAGAACATATGCCAGTAATGAGTGATAAACAAAATGTGTTCAAGTACATAGAAATTATATATGTAAAAGACTGTTTTAGAGTTAAAACGCCTCTATTAAATAAATTAGTAAAAAGGCAGACCGTATTCTCACCGAAAATATCAGAAAGAAGAACAAACCTACTTTACATAATTAAATTACTAAAAGGCAGGGAGCTATAAAATCAAAAATTATAAACACAATTATTAGTTAAATATGAAACTTACCCTTCAAGTGAATGGCCAATTCATCGATAGCAGCGATCACTGTCTCGTCTACAGTTGATGGTTTCTTTTTAGTCTGCTTTAATAACGCTTTTAGTTCACGTTTGTTGACTTTTCTTTGAGTATGAGATGCACTGTTGTAATCCACTGTGACTAAAACACATACACAAATACAAATTAATAACTGAGGTTTCTATAGTAACCAACCATAAAGAGTAAAAATAATGTAACTCAATTTCTTTGCTTTGGCTTAGTTGGAGAAATTAGGTTCTAACCAGATAATAAGATGTTCTCACTTCATTCTACAATTACGTGTTGATTTAGTGGGGCGAGTTGTGTGAGAGTGTAACTTCAGAGACCGTTTACACTGTTTAATACATAATTAGTACTCTTAGATTGTTGTATTTTTAATATGTGTCTACCTTTAAACTTCCCATTTAACGCATAAGTTCTTATGTCCTATTGTTCCAGATTTATCATTAATGATTTCCCTATTACTGCGAATTTGTATTATTTATGACTGAGTTATGTACACATAATTTTATAATTGTTTTGCTATGTAGTCAGACATTGAAATTATATTAGTGTATGAATTTTGAGTTGTGATCGAACAGTGTTTTGGAGAAATAACTTGCCTTCTATCTTAGTCTTCTGACTAGACATTGAGGTTTGAAGGAGCTCGAGGACCAATAAACGTTAATGTCTGAGTTGTGAATTATTGGTTACTGTGTCATTTGGTAAATCGGTCACTGGTCCTACTAGCAATACAGACGAACTAATCAATAGTAAGACTAGAAAATATAACTGCTACTGTAATAACGACCCGACAAGATGGGCACCAATACAATCCAAGTATTTAGTTCTCTTTTCGCCGTTGGATCGTGTATGTAATAGGATTTATCACTTTTCGCGTCAAATATGTTTATAATTTCATACTAAATAATATACCTTAAGAGAACAATTCTTTAAGTGATTATCATAAATTACTGTTTTTAACACATATAGAAAGAAACGTAGAGTTGACATTCAAAAGAAAAATAAACTGCTGCTTTATGCGCAATGAAGAACTTACCTTTGTCTGGTTGACGGGGTTCAACAAAGACTGAATTATGTGATCCGCTGAGATCTTTGGTAGATAAAGGTTCACGAGTAGCTAGTGACCAAGATAAAAAAAATTGTGAGGAAACATGCTAACAACCATTCATTATTCGTCAACATGAGAAATAACGTGGAATTTAAAATGAGATGGATTTTTTTGGCTTTAAAAACTGGATCTTTTGATAAGACGATAAACAATATGTAAGAACACATGAAGAATTTCGACAACAAATAATAACCGATTTATTACCAGAAGGGGTTTTGTGAAGATTTTAGTAATTTCAATAGTTGAAATCATGAGTCAAATGAATCTAGACCATCATGGAAAACTTAGAAGCACTGGACGGCCGTTTCGTCCTAGTATGAGAATCCTCAGCAGTGCGCATCCACGATCCCGCTCCCCGCGAGATTCGAACCCAGGACCTATCAGTCTCGCGCGTGAACACAACCTCTAGACCACTTAGCTGGCTAGCATCCAACGGTGTTAATGTCTAAATTCAACCAACACACGAAATTGCGCCACCGTTACCATTGTCTTCAGTGAGCTAATATTTCACAAGACCTGATTGAACTCCACTGGTCACTGCTTCCCACCTAAACTTCAGGAGTGTCTCTAGTGAGCACACGAAATGGCCGTCCAGTGCTTCCAGGTTTTCCATGGTGGTCTAGCTTCAATTGGCTCATGATTTCAACTATTGAAATAATCGATTTATTGATTACTTGGAATACAATCAAAACACTCTCAAGTAGAACACTTACTAATCAGCAAGCAAATCAGTAGTATAGGTCAGTGAAGACTATTCAATTTGTCTTTACATCATCCTAACTAGACTACCACTATTGAAGACCAGAAACCTATGAAGAACTGTTTTTTCTTAGTATAAGACTCTTTAGCAGTGCGTGTATCCAACGGTTGCCTAAAGAAATTTAGTCCATAACTTAAACCATGAGTTGAGTAATCTCCAGGTGAAAATTCTGAACTACTAACAGTGATCATGTGCCCATCGGTGACAAAACGAAACTTCGAGCGCCAATGAGAATTAGTCACTGACCAATGAATTTTAAACATTTTGAATATGAGAGTTATTACAGATGACAATAGGTGACTTTTCTTATTTATGTACTCGGGGGCCTTGAGCCCCAGTTCAGTTGTGATACCGTTGGATATGGGTAGATAATTGAAAACTTGGAACTTTGAGGGTCATTCTCTAGTAGATTATTTTATAAGCTTACCTGGTATATTTAATACATAGTTTACTGTATTTTTTAAACTGCTCTAGTTGTAAATGGTCATTGGAGTCTTTGACTGTTAATGCCTTTTATCGTTCATGAATTACAGCTAATTAATTATTTAACTGTTAGTTATTTTAGTACCACAATTGTTCCGGTTTAGTGAAGACTGTGATTCCTCATCAATAATGCTTTGTGATCTTTAAATTTATGTATTTACCCATGTGTTTTCGAGTCTCTTTAAGAGACAAACCGGGAGGTTGATGATAAAAAGAATCAGCATGGACAAATAGGTGTTAGCATATCCAATAGTTGTTCGGTGTTTATTGGTAATAATGATCGAGTGAATGTCATAACAAGTACTAATTCGCTGCTCGAAATGATGTCGGTGAAACGAGGTTCAAACGTGAGACTTACCAGTTGAAAGCTGACTGCTTCAGTTACTAAGCCAACCCATAGGATAACAGTAGCGAAATATAATATATCGACTGAAGTTATAAATGCAAACCATTAGATGCTAACTCAGTAAAAGCTTATCGCAAGACTTGAATGTCCTGAGGCTGTCTTCGGTGAGTTATATAACACGGATGAAATAAACAACCAGCGCTTTTTGGTTTTCAACAATTGTCTAGTAGAGCCAGTCCGTGATGTTAGTTACAAAGTATGAAAATGATTCATTACAATAGGTGATAAGACTCATTCAGTCAACTACAACGTAGGACCAGGCAGCTGCTAAATTTTAGATTACGCATACTAATATGAGAAGAGGAGTGAATAGTTTGTATAATAAGGGCTAGTAAAACCAATAAGGACTGAAGAGATAACATAAGGAAAGAATATTAGAAAAGAATAAAACAATATGAAAATTGATAAACTACTTACATTCATCATCATAGGGAAGTTCATGTTCACTACTAAGTCCCATCGGAAGAGAGCCTTCACGATCCCTTGACTCATTACTATAGTCATCTGCAAAATTCTTGAATACGTTTTGATCAAGATCTCCGTTATGACCCTTTTTGTCTAGCACACGACGACCACGACTTTCCATTTGTGATAAGTTATCATCTCCACCAGAACTATTACGAAGACTACGGCTATGAACTGATTCACTGGAAGTATCATCTGGTGTTTTTGAAAGACCATGAGATGACTTAGATCCCGTATCTGGTGACCCACATTCAGGATGTAATTGAGAATCACCATAGTAAGACTTCAAACTGCCTTTTAAACCATAACGGCCAGAAGGTTTTGAAGTCTTTTGCTTTCCTTTACGCTTCATATCCTCGAGTAAAGTGGACACATTCAAGGCGTCTGACTTGACTGCTCAGAATAAATTACGATCTTGACCGAGTCACTTTTGAGCTAAAAGATAGGTAAAAATAATAACAGTTGTATTAGTGGCATAAATATTCCGGATTAACAAAAAATTAGGTTGCGAAACTGTCAAAGTCGGACTTCTTGGTAGAACTATCTGATAATGATGGACATGACGCCCAACTTTTTCTTACCAACCTATAGACAATCCAAAGCCAAGCTATGTAGGACTTGGACAACGTGAGACACTCATAAAAACGAAATGCAAAACAAACTTAAGACTTTGGTGAGATAGCTCTAGTTACCCTTAAAAATAAATATTTAGCATACCTAAATCAACCAGTTTAAATCGATGTGCGCGTAGCCACACCATTTCACAGAAAGTAAAATCTGACGCCTGATTGCTAAGAAAAAACTTGAAAAAAATCATGATTAATTTTATCGGATTACAAGATATTGCTTGATTTTTTCATATTATCTTGGAATACTAAACCTGGGAATTGTATACTTTTAACGAGGATGAAATGTGAGTTGGTCAAACTGTATCGATCAAGTCCTAGGAAAATTATAAAATTCTCAAGATGTACCCTTGATTACTGAGAATCTACAATACAAAACATCACTCTAAATCTTGCTATACTGTGGGTAAACATGAAAACGACAATAAAAAAATTACTGATGCTTAATCATCAGTCCCGCTTGAAAACCAATAACATGTGAAAACGTTGGGATAAGGTATATACTTTTTATTTGAGAAGAAATGTTAGCTAGGTGTTGAGAGATGTACTGATTGAGACGAAAGTTTTCCATGCCAAAAGCCCTATTCCCAATTATTGTAATAAGCAATACTAAGAGTACAGTCAGGTTGAAGTTTCTGTATGTTCAACAAAACGAAACATAACACTAATACACGGAAACATTTTATATGACGAACATAAGGCTATTACTTTTCACGTGTTATCAGCTGGTTATAAATTAAGGTTTACAGATCTAACGTGACACTCCTCGCAATGAGAAGCAGAATTATATCAACACTGGAGGCTGAGTTTAACTTTTTAAACCTAATCGCTTACTTTTATTGTTTAATATTAATTTATTGTTCCGGACGAATGTTTCCTAATTATAACTGGTAAACGACCTATGCAATATATTATTACCTAAATATTTCATTCCTATTGGTGACTGATCGAAACTGTTAGATGATATACTTCACTACTCGAATCGAAAACCTAACGCAACAAGAGACACACGATAGTATCCCTCATCATTTCTAATAACTCTAAATCCTAGCTTTTAATAGTCGGGAAGATAACCGAGTATACTGAAGTGCCAACCCATGATAAAATGTGAGATACGAAGGTATCTCATTGGAATTTCGATGCCGTTCAATGTTTTTCATCATTTTCATTTTTTTTTCTGTGTGGCGCATATATATTGGGTGCCCTCTTGTACCAATATTTATGTGTTCAAATAAATAAATAAAATCAATGTTTTTCAGTAGCTGATCTAGTAGTGAGTGTTCATCAGGAATTTACTGAGTAACTACAACGAGGAATACTCGTAGTTAGGATCCGTTTACTAGTAACAGCATCAGACAACTTTGAAAAATCTTGGGATCAAGATAGAAGCCCTGAGATCATCGTTTCAGACAACAATACACAGTTCAAATAAGCTGTTCCAGTATTTCGGAGAAAATAATAAGGTTAAATGTTTATGTTTCCTATCTTATCAATCCTAGTCGAGTGGATCGGTAGGAATTCTAGTGGATAATTCTAAGAGAAGCTTGAATGGTGACAAATAACTACATTTTGACTTAAAACCACTTTAGAACGCTTTGTCTGATGTAGTTTCACATTTAGAATGCCTTGTGAGTCGGAAGCAGTGCATAGAATTGGATCCTCTAGTCCCACCAAAACAGGTCTCTATTCATCCCACTTACTTTACTTACACCGCGATAAGGAATATATGCTAGACTATCAACATTATCTGTTGGTATCAGATAATCAGCTAACAATGGGGGTGTGTACGATGGATGGGGACCAAGAAGAAAAACATATACAAGCCAAACAAAGAAAACCACTTTCAAATTATAATAAAATTGGTGAACTATAGATGAAAACAATCAGTAAGATAACAGCAAAAGTGATTAGGAGAGGGTTATTCTTGTAAAAATTATTATTTCTTGACAAAAAACTAGATAACTTGTTATCCCCCTAACAGTATCATTTAACAATTAAACAATGATCACTGATGATAGTCATTTGAATCCTTACTGTACACATTTGACAATCACTATTTTTTTCAAACTAATGATCAGTAACCTTTTTTATTCATATTAGCTAGTTTGACGGTTGAAATTTTCAGTCTAACCATTATGAATTTATGGATTAATAATGTAGACAATTGACTCAATCGTTAACAGAGACTACAGCCTCATATTTAAAACACAATTATATGAACGAAGAACTTTTCAGCGATTAAAGCCTTATATTTATTTGAGAGATTATATGATGTGTTGTACGTTTAATCTTCACAACAGTTGTTCCATACTATGCTATTAGATTGTAGTTAATTTGTAATATCAGTCAGTCAGCTACAACGTAGGACCAGGCACATATATGCATCGATCCAAGTTGCACAACAAGATGAACACCAAATTCATAACAGTAGTTACTCCAATGGTGGTAATATATAAAAAAAGATTTTATATAAGGACATAATACAGGAAAAAAGGACTTGTTCGTAGAAATGAAGGGTTAAAGCAACTTTAATCTCATGGTTTAAGGGAAGATAAAAAGTGCATATACGTACGCCATTGTGATCGATTCACACACAGTCTCCAAACATTGGTTACGATAATCGCGACGACACCAACTAAGTAGTCTGCATCTACCAAAATGGCTCAGACTAGAATTTAGTGATTTTAAGCACTGATGCCATGTTTTGGTTTGGACACCTCTAACTTTCTTCCGACTATCCCAAACACTAGTCAGCATTGAGTGTTGTGGTAAACGTAGGTCGGACATACGTAATACGTGACGCAACCATCTCAGTTGATGAAGATTCACAACCTCATCAACTGATTTACCACCATTCCTTAATGCACTGCGTCTAGCCTCACTATTACTTACCCGGTGATCCCAGCAGATACCAGCAATATTTCTAAGGCATCTACGCTCAAATGCTAGTAGTTTACAAGTATTTTCAACTCTTAATGGCCACGTTCCGTGGCCGTAAAGTAGAATAGAACGAACGGCCGCGCAGTATACTCGCCCCTTAAATAATAGACGGATATCTCGCCTTCGTCATAGGTGACGTAGGTTGACAAAAGCCAAACGAGCTTTCTGAATCCGTGCACAGATTTCGTCAGACAACAACCCATTGGGGCTTATCAGACTTCCAAGACGAGTGAAGATGTCTACACGTTCGACTACTTAATTCCCTATTATTAGTTCAGGCGTTGATGCAGGCCAGTCCTAAGCAACAATTTGCATCCAGAGGGGAAGCTCATCCCAAACATCCTGGCATTGTTGTTCAGAGCTACCAAGACTCCGAATCTTATCAGCGTCTGCACCAAACAGGACTGTCATCTGCGCATTAGAAGTTGATTAGTGGCCCTCCTGGAAAGAGATCAATTCCTAGAAATTCAGTCGATGAAAACGTTATTTACAGCATTAGGTCTATGATGAAATTAAACAGAAATGGAGATAGTGGACAGCCTTGAAGGACACCATATGAGGTTGCAAAATTAAATGACAGTTCACCACAAGCTCTGACTTGATTGGTATTGTTCGAGTAAAGAGCCTTCACAAGATTTCTGTACTTCTGAAGTACACCCTTCAATGACAGACACTGCTACAGGATATTTCGGTATAGAGTCAAATGCTGCTTTTAATTCAAGAAAAACTCAGTGACCGAGTCAAATTTGTGTACCCAACTTTGAGCCATTTATTTCTGTAACGGCCAGTGACGCTACACAGTTGCCAGAACTAAACTACTTCCAATTATTATGATCGATATCCAAGTGTCAAGTACCTAGTTATCGATTTCTACGAACAGTATGTACGATTACATTATTTTACATGATTTTATGGACAGTAAACTCATAGTACAGTCTAGATATACAAATAGTCCCTATGCAGCTATGACCACACCTCCATTATTTCAAACACCAGGAGACAATTCACTGTTTTCTATACATAAAATTTAACATACAAAGTTCATTGGTTGAGGTCCTTAAGGAAATACTCGCTTAATAAATAGAAATTAAGAGCCTGATAAACGAGTAACCAAGTAAACTAAGCAATCATCTGACACTCGAAAAATACATTTCGAAACTATTATGGAGAATGGAACCAGCCGAATATGTTTATCAGTAAAGGTTGTCATAACACGTCAACATAGCAAGATAAATACCGGGATAGCAGTTAAGTAACCTGCAAAGAAGATATTGCATAGGAATGCTTGGAGAGAAATGAATGAAATTGCTGAAAGGGTTGTGTGATAACTATGAAACTACGGCTCTAAGGGGGAATGATTCTGTATCACTAGTGCCGATTCTGGATCATGTCAACAAACCTTTTGCACAAAAAAGGAACTTTATACTGTAGTCGAAACTGAAACATCATGAAAACACACTTTGGAGGTCGAAATCGAATAGATGTACAGAGAAATTTTAACCTGAATTAACTACTTACAATTAGCGATAGATCAGATAATTGACAGCACTTAGTTATATATGTTCTTTATATCATTTCGAACAATTGTTTATTGCTAAGTTTAAGAGATTCCAGTCAATTAGCGTCTTAAGACCCCGGACTTCAACTATTTGGAAAACAATATCAGTGGTTACTGCATTGAACTTCTGATAAATACTGACTTCATAACACATATTGACCCAATGTAGTAGTGTAAAGAACTAGGAAAGATAAAAAGCTGCATACTCAACCTAAAAACGCTCTTCGA